AATCTATGCATATATACATATCTGCAAATGTGTATTTATAATATATGTATAGATACATCTTCATACTAAGCTAAACACGAGTTTACACTGATGTTCTCAGTTCTAATCCAGTAATGTAGATCATTCTAGCCTTTCCCCTTGCTTGTATGTAACTTCCCACTCAAACAGGGAAAAGCCTGCCTCCTACCATCCACCCTCCATTCACTTAATCGTTCAGTTCCTGTATGCATGTATAGTGGTTGCAGATTTGTAAAGCCATCTCCTGGGGAAACAGCTTTATCAGCCAGGGTACAGTGCTCCGTGTAGTTCCTTTTGCCTGTAGTCTTGCTGACTCCACTCATGTCCAAGGTTAGGTCAGCATCTTCCCATCCTCTTCAGTGAGGCTATTTCATACTCTTAAAAATACAGTTAGGTTCTTTTGTTGGTCTGTATTACATCCTTGATCTCCTAAGTAGTATGTTTTAAATTCACGTACATTAAAATTCATCATTCGTGCTGTAAAGTTCTGTGGGTTTTGACAAATGTGCCGTGTATTCATCGTTACAGCGTCACACAGACTGGTTTCCCTGCCCTGCACTCCCCTGTGCTTCACATACTCAGCCTTCCCCCCTTCCCCAAACCCCTGGCAACCACCAGTCTGTTCAGTTTCTGTAATTTTGCCTTTTTTCATATCTGGTGTTTCAATTTTCCTCTAGGCCATTTAGTTTCACCAGAGGGAAAAGGATCCCCGGCTCAGCCGAGGGAGGGAGGGAGGGAGGGAGGGTGGAAAGGGATTTGTACAGATGGGTGTGTGCCGGTAGAAGCCGAAGGGAAAGAGTGGTTTGGGGACTCGGTGCTCAGCTTGAGGTTTTCACTTTGTGGCTCTATTTACAGTCTTGTGTTCGCTCCCACTTCCCAGGGTGCCTAGCAGTCCCGAGTCCAGAGGCTGTTGGGTTGTCTCTCCAGAGAATAAACAGTCTCTTTCCTGTGTGTAGGGGGCAGAAGGTGTTGGTGGTCACTCATTGCTCTAGGTGGAGGGGCACACCTGGGGCCTAACTGCTTTTTTATTTAGACTTTTTAACCAACCTCCTGTTTTCAGTTCTGTGTTGCCTTCCACTTTTCAGAGGCACTGGGGCCTCCAATTCCTGAGCCTTCTAGAGTTACAGATAGCATTGCTCGTTTCAGTGGAATCACTCTCTGAGGGCACTTGGGTTTCAGTGTTTCCTCTGCTTAGCCATTCTCTGTTTTCTGTCTTCCAAAATTATGTTAAGATCTCATATCTGTCACTGTTTACTTTGTCTTGGTGGGTTTATGCCTCTTTTAACTAGAAGTCTCGTTTGTTTTTAGAAGTTTGCTATTTTGTACAGTTGTTATAATCACTCTGAAAAAATTTTAAAGCCACATTTCCTTGTATGGCTTGCCTTTCCTTGATCTGTGTTTTGCCAGTACAGCTCTTAATGTGCAATACAGTAGAGATAAGGAAAATAATTATGTACAGTTGATTTCCGCATGAGTATTTCCTGTCTTCTCTTGGGTCAGGAGTGGACCTATAAAAAATGATCAGCAGTATTCTTTTGAAACTTGCTGAGGTTAACATTTCTGCTTCATTTGTGTTCCTCCCATGGCGACACCACGGAAACCGTCACTCCTGGCAGGATTTGGATGTTTCTACCCTGATTTCTTTGAGGGAAGTGTGTGTTCTGACGCTGTCTTTCTCAGCCTTTTGCAGCAAGTGGAATACCAGCAGGCCAGACTGATTCATATTATGGACCACTTAAGTTTGGACTTGTCATTACAAAGAATATGGGACAGAACTGAAGCTGTATTTTCTTTAGTAACAGGAAGAGAATAATCATAAAAGTCCTAACTGTTCGTATATTTCCAGTACGTGGAACTGGTAGCTTCTAATGGTTTATGGTTATGTTTTACTGAACACACTGAAAGGGCTGCATGCGTTTTCTTACCCTGACGGGCCAAATGGAATGAGTTGAGAGCTTGTTTGGAGGTTCTGTCAGGGGAGCGCAGCTACCCACATACCCTTGACTGAAGACCAGCCCTCTCCTCTAGTTGGGAAGGTCGTCCTCTTCAACAGAGTGTGCAGCTTCGGGAGGGATGACCATGGATCGGTCAGGGAGAAAGGGGACATCCGCCTAGCCAGCCAGATCAGCCAAATCCACCCTAGTGATCACTGGGGTGACATGTTGCAGCCAGATCACCCTCACATCCTGGAATGAGTTGAAATAGCAGTTTTAATAAGGGGTCCCTAGCCAGGTGAAGGCTTAAAGAGATGCCTTTAGCATGCCCATGGTGGACCACACAGCTTCCTTTATGTGACCTCTTTTATCACTCTTTCTCAGCGACCACTGAGGTGGCTGTGAACCCTTTGCAGATGTGAACTTGGAGCTTTCTTCCTTGGTGAGGGCAGAACCACTTTGGGCTGAGTGTCCCAGCTTAGGCTGATGTTTCCCCGGTGCTTTGCTTCCAGGTCAGTGAGAGCCAGTGTAGCACGGTGATTGCACGTGGACTCTGGAGCTACACCACCCATGTAGGCATACCGATTCTACCGGGTTCCAGTTGGGCTCTGTGCCTTAGTCTCCCCACCTGTAACATGAAGAGAATGATAGTGGGAATTGATATTGTAGAACACCTAGTGGACACTATACAAGTGCTTACTAAATAGGTAAATGATACGGACATCTGATCCTCTCCCTGTGCTCACTACTTGAAGGAAAGCAAGTACTGTGTTTTCGTTAGGCCTTGCCGAAGGGAGAGCTGGGTGGACACGGATGTGCGTAGTGGTGAGAGCATTTTCCTTCCTACGTGGAAGATTTGGGGCAGATGGGTAATACGCTTGAGCTGAAATGTCACTGGGCAGTGCCAGCCAAAAAGTAGTTATTCCTGAGCAAAATCTAAGATATGCTCACCCCTTGATGTCCTTGAACAGCTACATAGAGCTGTAAAATGGGTGAAAAATTCCAAGGGTTGGACTGAAATAATCAGACAAGAAATGGTAAAATAATTGAGTGTTTTTTGTCTTTGTTCCATAAAGTGAGGCGGCTGAGTGAGGTGACTCCACAAGTGGTCGCTCTTCGTGATCATAAGCTTCCCGACTTAGTAGACCAGCGCAGACCTATGTAAGGAAGATGCTGATCCGCTTAGAGAAAAAAAGCAGAATGATGGAGCAGATGGAAATTCTCTGGTGTTTTTTGCCTGGTGAAGATTCCCAAGGCTGCCTTTCCGTGCGATTGAGGAGGCCTTTGGCCGCGGCTCTGTGTCCTTTTGTCCGCTGGCCACAGTGACCTGTATCCCTGTGCTGAATCAATCAGCGGCAGTTGGCGCCACACTGCTCCACAGAGGTTACTGTCTAAATGGTGGAATTAAGGCGAGTACCATTATCGGTATGTTTTGCTCAGCCTGCATAGGCTCCAGCACAGAGTGCCTGTTTCAGAATACAGATAATTCCACGAATTTGGGAACCAGAGAGTTACAACAAACGAAGGTTGACCTTAGTCTGCTCTTGTAGTTGCCAAGGAAAAGGAGCTAAAAGGCTTCAGAGTCTGAGGGTTAAGCAGACGGAAAAGGGTTGGGTTTCTCAGTCTGGGAGACACTGACTGATATTTATTTCTCAGATATCAACCTAGAAAAGTATCAAGTAATTTTAATCATCGCCACAGACTTAACACTGGACTTCCAGGAGCTCATCCACACAGTGGACTGATTGGAGAATCAGTAGCATTTCGAGAGACAGTGTTGAAGGTTCTCCTACCAGGCAATGAGTTGCGATTATTCTGATTAATGAGCTTATGCAGTAGAAAAGCAAACAAAGTTGAGGCTGCCCAGTTGACCAGGAAAACCTCTTTCTTCTCTTCCCTTATATTTGAAGAGGAGTTGTGGTGTGGGAGTGGGCGGAGGCACCGGCTGGTCTTCATTAACCTCTGGTCAGTCGCTAATTTTACGAAGCATTTTATTAGTATTTGGGAAGTGTGGTCAAGAATCCCTTCACTGGCCTTTTTTCCTCCACTGGGAAGACCCTGTTGAAGTGAGATGTCTGCATTTAGTTTCCGAGTAGTTGGAATTCTTGATAATAACCCAGCAGAGTGCTGCCGCTGCTTGGTTATCAACGGAGCATTTATTTTCAAGAGAAAGAACAGAGGCGACATTATGTACAGGTTCCGGTGGAAGTAAGGCCTGCTTGTTGGTAGGGTAATGACATGGATGTGATAATTTATAGATTCAGTTTGAACATTTCACCTAAAATGTCATACAGTGTGCTTGAATGTGATGTTGTTATGTTCCAGAAAGAATTACATGCTTATGATTTTGTAAGAAAACAGGGGCGTTGTTTGTGCCGGATCCTGCATTAGTTAAGAGCTGAGCCCTGGTATTGAACTCCTGGGTCTGAGTCCTCGCCGTACCATTGCCCAGCTTTGAGATTCTCAGTAAGTCACTTAGCCTTTCTGGGCCTCGGTTTCCTCATCTAAAAAAGTGGGGCTGGTAAGTGCTCCATCCAAGTTAGCCGCTGTTAACCCTGCCGTTATTGTTACTGATTTCGTTACCTGACCGATGATGGGGGAAGAACTCGAGGTCTATTAAGCGCACACAGCCGCCCCTTTCTGGGTCTTTCTCTCAGCCAGTGTGAGAGCACGGGGCGGGAACAACAGACAGCGCAGTGGCATGAGACGTCTCCCATCTGTAACTTCCACGTTTCTCTCCAGCAGCAGCTTGCCAGTGAATACTGGTGATTTCAATTCATTCTTTCTCTTGCCTGTTTTTTTTCTGGGTCACTACCTTCCAAATAAAGATTTTCGGGCTCACCATTGTGAGCAGATAAACCTTAATTGATTATTTCCCATTACCATGGACTATTGGCCGAGAGATCTGATCTGTGACAAATGAAGGGATTTGTTCCCATGCTCTTGAACTCCCCTGGACTCAGGGCAACGTTTAGTCCTCATTAAGATAGTGCTGCAGCGGAGAGGGGAGCCAGTCGGCTACACTGCTGGGTTGAGGAGAGAAGGAGTCAAGGGGAAAAAAGCCTGAGAGTGGATATTGGCAGGGCAGCCGAGCTGGTTGAAAGTCGGTGTTTAACACCCAACTTCTCAGAAGATTTTCCTCGGCTGAGTGGGCTTGGGGGAGCCCTGGCCTGAGAGTGTGGCTTAGCAATGAGATTTTGAGACACCAGTCTCGGAGAGTCCAGCACCGGATCCCCTGCCTCCCGTCACCAGCCCTCAGCTGCCATCCTGAGCCTCCTATTAGACAATCGAGTGTGCTGGAGGGAGGGACCAGTGAGGGGGCGAAGTTTAATCATTGAACTCAGCAGCCTGGAAGTATTTAACCTCTAGCACTGAGTTCCCCAGAGGCCTCCAGCCTGAACTGCAAGTGGGCAGTACTCCAGAGGCGGGAATCCACACTGCACAGATCTCTCTCTGACTGACTGAGGAGAACCCAAACTTGGGGAAAATGTTTGCAGTGCACTTGATGGCATTTTACTTCACGAAGCTGAAGGAGGATCAGATCAAAAAGGTAAGGAAGGACTCAGGAGGCTGAGCGATGTCTGGTTCACTTTTCATTGACAAACGCCTACATCCACAAGGATTTAAGAGAGCTTATTACAAAATATACAGGTGCCCTGGCCAGATACTTCAATTGGTTAGAATGTTGTCCCGCTATGCAAGGGTTGCGGGTTTGACCTCTGGTCAGGGCACACACAGGAAGCAGCCAATAAATGTGTAAATAAATGGAACAATAAATTAATGTTACCCTCTCTCTGACTCCCTCCTCTCTCCCGCTTTCTCTCTCTAAAAATCAATCAATAAAAAAAAAAACATACAGGGCTGCGCTGGACCAGTCAAAAGCTCAGAGGGGGAAGAGGAAGTAAATCTCCCATAGCTGGACGCTACATACTGTCCTGAGCCCTGAGTTTCACTCAGAACTTCTGGCAGATAGCAGATGGGAAGGGGATGAGGAGAAGTCTTTGGAAACCGAGTACACTGTTTAATGTGGGGAATGTTTGAGGGGAAAAGGTAAAAAAAAGGAGAGTCATTTTGAAAGAAATGTTGAGAACTTGTAATTTACATGATTTTTCACGTGCTTGAAAATACAAATACGGCACCGAGAGGAACTTGAGTTTTAATGTGAGATAATCGAAACACTTCTCTGTACGTGCTGTGTGCTATTAAAGGTGGTGTTATTTTGCCACTTCGTCCAAGAAAGCTACCTGCCAGATTCACTCCAGGGTGGCTGGTTCGGAGTTGCGCAGGCTCCACCGGGGCCGTGGGCACTCTCCTGGCCAGCTGGAACCAACCACTCGGCCTGCCACTGGAGCCCCTCTAGCCACACAGCTCCAGACAGCCCTCCCTGAGGGTGGGCGTGGCCAAGGTCACCCAGGTGTGTAAGGTGGTGCTGGGGGAGGTAACAGCCGTCGCTGCCTCCTGCTCCTGTGTCTTGATGCCTTTGGGCCTCTCAGACAGAGGAAGCTGGTCTCATAGCTCTTGTGTTTGGTGGGATAAACTCACCAAATCCTGTTCATTAGAGAGTTGGGTTGGAGGTTACAGCAAATCTTGAAGAAAAATCCATCAGGTGTAACCTGTCTTAATTTTCATTTGTTGATTAGATTCACGAAGTCCTTTCTAGCTTCCTCAGGAGCTGGAAACGTGCTCAACGACACTGCTTAAGGCCCGCTTTCTGGTGTCAGCTGCTTAGTAAGGGAGGCACCTGCACAGCGTCTCCAGCCCCCGGGGGAGTCTTTGGAGCCTCGGCACCTGTGCTCCTGCAAATCGGTTTCCTTTCCTTGGGCCCCTGTGCCGGCTAATCCTCTGTTACCTCCTAGAACCCGGCAGACGTGTTTGTCCACCAGCCCGGGTGCAGGCTCTGGAGGCCCCTTGACTGGAAACGCAGCCATCATGGATCTGTGCCAGGTTCTCCTGGCGGCAGGGCCAGCCTTTGTCAAGGTCTGCCATTGACCATTCCTCTCCCTGTGGCAGGCAAGAAAGCTGGTGAGAGTGAGCGGCGTAGGGATAGTCAAGAATGCTTTGTAGCCACCTGGAGCGAGGGGCTCCGCGGGTACTGGGCGCGGTCAGGAGGCTGATTTAGGAGCTGGTGGGGTGAGTCACAGGGTCTGAGAACTTGCCTGTTCACTCCAGGTGGTGAAAACACACCTGGTCGGAAGGCGCAGGCGCTTTCTGCCTCCTGGGCCAGTCCCTCCTCCGGCCTGTGCTTCCTCCTCTAGAACTGCCGAGAGCCTGAGCTGAACTCGCCTGCTTGGGTTACTGTTCAGGCCCTGGAACTATTTTTTAAAAATTCTCTATGCCAGTATTAAAACAAAAATGAAGTAAAACATAAAGGAGGGAAGGAAAGAAGAAAGGAAGGAAGGGAGGGAGGGAAGAAAGAAATTGCCCTGACAACTTGCCTTCCAGTTCAATATATTGATAGTATTTGACCTATGGATGACATTGGGCTGGAACTGGTCACTGACCTGCAGATTGTTCACTCATAAGAGAAGGACTAGTGAGGTTTTCACAGTGTCCTTTTTACGGTTTAGAAAGTCAACATTCCGAGGAGTGGAAATGTTCCCTTTCATCCCACCCCCTCACAGCCCAGTCAGATTTGCCTTCCTTCTCTCCTGGTGTGCGTGTTTGCAGTTACATGGGACATACAGTTCCGAACCTGTGCCCTTCACTTATTGTTACCACTTACATGCATTTCCCCATTTCTTTATAATTACCGTAACATCTTCCATCCTAATATCCCATCAAGTTTGGTATGCCATAACTTAACTTTTCCCTTTTGTTGCACTGGCTACTTTCAGAAACATTTTTTCTTAACAGTTTAAAATTGCTGTCATAAATATTGGTCTATATTTAATGTTGGGCACCTTTTGGCTTATTGCCTAAGGACAGCTTCCCAGAAGTGACACCACCAGGTCAGAGTTGAGCCTTTTTATGGCTTGATTCACAAGAATAGGACCTTTGGATTAGGCGAGCACTGAAGTCTTTTGCAGCTCCTACTCCTGCTGTTCTGCAAGCTCCGTGCTGATGTTTTAGTTTGTTCTTCCTACAGTAAATGCGCTGCTTGCTGCCTCTTTTGTATATAAGACATCCCAGGTGTGGTTTGTGAGTTGCTCCAAAAGCGGGCTTGGTTTCTGCAACTCAAGCACCCGCCTTGGTGCCCATGACATGTGTGCCTGGTTCCACGGGCCCGAGAGTCACCTATTTGGGTTTATACTACAGGGTTTCCCCCAGTCTGCGTTCCATCCTTCCCTTCTAGCTCTGTACCCGGTGCTGTGGAAGGTACAAAGAATAGATAATAAACTATTTCTAAGTTGACATTCATTCTTTCTGTCCTAACTCGAATTACTGAAATAGCAGGTGCAGTAACCCAAAGTCCCAAATGACGGTTTAACTGAGGCTCCAAATTGACGTGAATGGGCTCAAAACCATTACACACAGCAGGGGTGACGTTATGCGGATGCTCAGGGAGGTTCTCCAGGGCTGAGTGGAAATGAGCAATAGGTGGAGGGGCTCTGTGTGAGGGGCCTTGGGTGATGAAGAGAGCAATCTTCATTCTTGTGTAGCACATCTCACCTTTCCCAAGCCCCAATTACTTGGGTCACATCTCTTTTGTTGGTTTTCTGTGTGCATGGCAGTGCCAACCAATTAGTCATAAACAGACTCATGGTGATAGGAAGTCCTTAATGAAACATGACCTGGTTCCAGCCTATTTTCTCAAACACGCTGAAAACCCAATTGTCCTGTTTTGTTAATGGCTCTCTAACGGTTTTCTGGCTTCTCTTTGGTGCCCGAGTTCTTGGAGCTATGGGCTCTTTCTCTGGCTTGGGTGTCCGTGTTGGCCCCAGCTGAGCCGGCATGCCTGCCCTCTGGGCCTGGCCGATGGCTGGGCACCTGTCCTGTAACGAAGGTCATGCGGCCCCTGCACTTTTGGTTTAATTTGTCTGTTGGGCTTGTGGGTCCTGCACGGAACTGTGAAGCAAAAGCAGGCCACATGGCAAGGACTTGGGAGACTGCATTGTAGTCCCAGCGCTGCCACTTACCAGTGGCTGTCCGAGTGCTGCTCAGTGGCCTGAACTTTGGAGCCCTTATCTTTCAATTAGGGGCAATCACGTTGCCCTACCTGGCTGCCTCAAAGGGATATCACGGATTTCCAGCGGGGGGACACACATGAGAGCACTTGTAGCCCGCAGTGCATGTTCTTAGCCTTTGGTAAAAGCGTGGGAGACAGTTCATCCAGAAACATGCTGGGGTCAAGTCTTGCAACCTGGATGGATAGACAGGTCACTCAGTACAAAGCAGGGCTGGATACACAGGGCACCTATGCTATTGTCTCTTTTCTGGCCCCAGGTAATAATCTGTCCCAGTGAGCCCTGGGAATCCAGGCCACCCCCACCAAATGATTAGCGTGGAGGAAGAAGCTTTCTTCCATTCTTCGTGTGACACTATAACCTTCAAGTGGACTGGGGAGAGCCATAGCAATTTTTATAACTTCCCTACGTCAAGGGGTCCTGTGACCCAGTTTCCTGGTTACTCGAGTGGCATCTACTCATTTCCAATAGCAATTGGGGCTGGCTTTAGGAGTTAAACTTCATTCTAATTAGAATAACCTCAATTAAAAACAAAATGGAGATGTACAAGATTAGAGTTTAGAGATTGTGATTGAAAACTGATTTTGGCTCTGAGCTTTCCTAGCAGCCCATAAACAAAGGGAAACATGTTCAGATGTGTATTGTCATCATTGGATGAAAGGAAGCGTCTGCTTGGGAATTCAAGGTTCTGGCTGTAGCTAGTCTGCCCTGGTGGAGAGGTGATGGGACGATGGTGAGAGCTCTGAACTGGGATTTAGAAACCCGGCTCTTTCTTAGTTTTTGCCCCTCCACTGTCCCATCAGAAAAATGGGGGAATTCTTTGTTCCTCAGATCTTGCCCTTTGGAGGAATAAATCTCACCTCTTCGATTCCACTCCGTTCTCCCATCTCCCTTGTCCCCAGCTTAATGAGGGGTCAGGCAAGGGACCTCCAGGAATCCGCATCACACGATCGTCCCCATGCAGCTTCATCATGGAGCGGGGATGTCCAGTGGGCAACCCCAGTCACCCTGGTGTGTTTCCAGGTGGACAGGTTCCTGTACCACATGCGGCTCTCCGATGAGACCCTTTTGGACATCATGACTCGGTTCCAGGCTGAAATGCAGAGGGGCCTGGGGAAGGACAGCAACCCCACGGCCTCAGTGAAGATGCTGCCCACCTTCGTCAGGGCCATTCCAGACGGCTCCGGTGAGTGGGGCTGGGGGCTGGCTGCCCGGGGCTTTCCCCAGCATCGGGGTCCCAGGGATCCAACCAGGCTCCAGCAGCGGCTCTGGGGCTCTTGAAGGAGCAGGGATTGATGTCTGAGGGGCTCTCAGGGTCCTTTGATTAGATTGGCCACGTTCTGAGCCCCTTTGGAACACGGCCTGGGTCAAAGCAGTTTGGCTCTGCAGTTTGAGAGGCACCTGGGAACTGGGGTGAGAAAGACCTGTTCCCTTGCCGGCAGGTGGGTGTGTAGGGTGGGTAGTGCTTGAGCCCTGGAGGAACATGAGCTTTGGAGAGAGACAGTCCCGCTTTGAAGTCTGGCCCGGCTCCTGACACTGCTCTGAGGGCGCTGAGGACACTGTGGTCCTTGGCGGGTCAGCCAGCAGTTGGGAGGAAGTGCCTGAGTCATGGGGTGTGTGTGTGGGGAGGCACCCGGGCAAAGTCCTGGCTTCCTGTGTGGCGGCGGCTCCTCCCCGTGGAGGTGTGTCCCCGGAAGCATCAGAAAGTGGCCTTTGATGTTCTGGAGGCTGCTGGGCGGACGTGCCTTCCTGGCCCTGCCTGCCTCAGGGAAGGTTTGGAAGTAAAACTGTCCAAGTTTGGGAAACTGGGCCTCCTCAGGCCAGGCGACACCTCCTGCTTTCTTCACCGCCTCCTCTTCACACAATAAATCTTAAATAACTCTTACCAGGGGTCCTGTTGCAGCGGGATCCAGGCACAGAGGCCTTGGCAAGTCCCAGGACCCCTGCGCTCCTGTCCTCATCCGTACAAGGGCTGTGGTCAGTTCGTGCTACCAACTTGTAGGCCACTGGGGCCAGACGAGGTTATGTGGCAGGATTGTTTTAAAGTCTCCAAAATGTCCCAAGTCCTCAGTAACTCTCGCGAGCTGGTGGTGTAACTTCATGATTAGTAACCGTGCTGTAGTTCCCGCCCCTTTCGTCCGAGCCTGCCTGATGGGGGCGTAACTCTCTGAGCCCTAGTTGCCTCCCCGTGTTTCAGCCAGGGAGCGGCACCTGACTATTCTTACAAAGTGCCTTTGAAGTGCCGTTACCAGCGGTCCCTCCTCTACCAGTCCTGAGGGAGGTGCCCATCACCTGGTTTGGAAGGCCCGACACCAGCTACCTCTCTTCATGGTCTCTTCCTCCAGGTAGAGCCCTCAGCCTCCTGGGGCACAGGGTGAGCCTTGAGGGGGGAGCCCCAGGGCCTGCACCGGGGCCCAGACTTGTGTGAGCTAAGACTCACCTGGGGAGATTCCTAAACATGCAGTGTCCCAGGCCTGTCCCCCTGGAGATTTGGAATCTCCACGGTCCACACACGCAGTCACCGTGCGCCTTTGGGAGAAACTGCACCAGGGACTGGGGAGGAGCGGATGCCCAGGCCCCGACAGCGGCTGAGGGGGAGGAAACCCGGGTGTCACGTAGTCACAGGAGCTTCACCCGCAGTAGGTGGATTGTCAAGAAAACCTCACCCTCTTGGGAGGTCAGTTAAAAAAGTTATTATCCTTTAATTTATTTTTTAGTTATAATTAACATATAGTTTCAGCATATAACACAATCCTTCAATATTTGTGTATATTGTGATATGACCACCTCAGCAGGTGCAGCATGTGTCCATCATCACACAGGTGCACATCTCATTTTTCTTGTGATGAGAGCTTTTAAGATCTACTCTCTTAGCAACTTTCAAATGTGCAACACAGTACCGTTAACTATAGTCCCCATTCTATACATTACGTCTTTATGATGGGAGGTCCTAATAATTTTATAATGACTGTAAAGCCCCTGATGGTCCCACTTCTTCTGGGCAGGTCCTCACCCCCCCACCCCCCACCAAGGTCCATGAGTCTTTCCTCTGGGGTCAGAGTCACAGAAGAGATTAAGCCACGTGGTTTCCAGGATGTAGCATCTTGAGTCCCGAGTGGGGCGTGGTGACTGGGTAGTGATAGTGGCACCAGTGGCGGGAGAATGGATGAGTCCATGCTGACACTGTACCAGGTCTCACACACCATTTCCCATCTGGACACAGCGCGAGAACCTCTTTTATTCAAATCCCTTAGTCTATCCTGGTTGGTGCCAGAGGTGTTTTCCCAAAGTCTCAGCCAGATCTTGGCGCTCTCTTACTTAAAATCTTCCTGTGGCTCACCCTCGCCTTCTGGGTAAAGCCCGGGCTCCTTGGAAATGGGGTGGCTTTTCTAAATCCTGCCTCGTTTCAATCACACCTCCCTCCTTCCTCAAAAGCCCAGTCATGCCCCCCTCGGCCCAGCGTGAGCTCATTTCTTCGCACAGTTTCCTCTCCCTGGGACCTCGGCTCCCGTCTGGCTGCCCTCCCATCCTTCAGCACTGGGCTCTGTGTCGCCCCCGCCGGGCTGTCCACTCCTGCCCTGATTTAGATGCTGCTCCCTGGCATCCCACCATCAGAGTACTTGCCCGACTGTGTGGAACTGACTGACTGACTTGTCTGTATTTCTGATGATGGAACCCACAGTCTTTCATCTTTGCTCCTGGCCAGCTACGTGGCACAGAGTCGTGCTCAGTAAATTTGTACATGGACTGTGTGTTCTACCCTACTTCCAACGTGAGGAGGTAACGTCTGAGAAAGCAGCTTTCACTCGGTACACGATGAGTGCTAATCAGATTGCTCAGGTTTTTGGATTCCCTCCTGAATAATAAATGGCTCCGTCAGGCTCCTCTGGGGGATGATCTGGGGAGGTGAAAATCTCATTTTCCAGAGAAACAAAACAGAAACAAAAGGTCCAGCTGGCTGGGTCTCTAAATGAAGGCTCTAAACCTTTGCTACTCTAACAGTGGTCCACTGGCCAGCAGTGTGTGTGTGTGGGGGGGAACGGGCCCTTGAGCTTGTTGATTTTTAAGATTTTATTTATTTATTTTAGAGAGAGCAAGGGAGGGAGAAAGAGAGGGAGAGAAACATCAATGTGTGGTTGCCTGTCACGTGCCCCCTACTGGGGACCTGGCCTGCAACCCAGGCATGTGCCCTGACTGGGAATAGAACCAGCAATCCTTTGGTTCACAGGCTGGCCCTCAATCCACTGAGCCACACGAGCTGGGGCCAGGGCTCCCTCTGTGTTTTATTTCACAGGATGGGAATCTGAATGGCCAGCAGGCCCCTTAGATCCATGCATCGGTGTCTGGGGTCCCATGGTACAGAACAAGACCCCTGGGGTGCTGGGATTGGTGGGCATGGTGTTTCACTTCTCTGTGCCTTCGGCATATATGATGACTCCTGCTCGGTACACGTAGCCACTTTCGGGCACAGACAATTCTTTAGAAAGGCTTGCTGGTTCAAGGGTTTGCACACCTAGGTTCTCATCCCAGATCCGTGGCTGACGCTGAAGGCTGTGGCAGGGGTCCCGGGAAGGAACGCTGTCCGGGTCCTGAGCTGAAGTCATTAGGGTGGGCCGCCTTGCCTCAACACGTGCATCATTTCTCTTTATCAATAGCATCTGTCTTGTGCTTGGCTTGGTGGTGGTACATTTACTCATTTTGAAGTGACTCTGGCCCCAAATACTGAGCATACTTGACCCCTTAAGGGCTATCGTTTGGTCCCTGCCTCCAGCCCCCGTCTCCCTTCTGTCCTGGAGTGTTTCCCCTCTGCCCATGAGACAGGGGCTGGCATGGGGCCGGCTTCTCCTCCCTGCGCTGCCCGCTCCCTTTCCTCCACACCGTATCTGCATCCCCCGTGCTTGGAGCAGCAGCTCTCTGTCCCAGTTGTGGCCTGGTAATGCTAGAATCGGCCCCACCCCCCAAGGCCCATCTCCTATCAAGTTTGCATTTGCCTTCTCCATAGGAATGCAGGTATTCCCTGCAGCCCAGCTCAGTGGGCAGGGCTGTGAGAGATGTGGCCCACACCCCAGTTCTGCCCTTCCCAGGAGGACTCAGATCAATGGCTGCACCTCTGGAGTCTCAGGAAGTGTGCAAAAGGATGCCTCGCTCTGGGGGGTGGTTGGGAGACCTGTGACGTTTCTTACACGTCCAACTTCTTGTGTAGATCTTGCCGGATAGCAGACCTTCAATAAATGATAACTGTATTTCATTTGTTTTTAAATAGAAAATGGGGAGTTTCTTTCCCTGGATCTTGGAGGATCTAAGTTTCGAGTCTCAAAGGTACAAGTCTCTGAAGATGGGAAACAAAACGTCCAGTTGGAGAGTCAGTTCTACCCAATGCCCAACGAAATCACCCGAGGGAACGGCTCAGAGGTACCAGGGCAGGGGCTCTGTGGCACAGAGGGAAGGCCTCGGCTTGCGTGTATGAGTGGCCAGGCTTCAGTCTAGTGTCCTGTGCTCTCTCCTCTCTGCAGCTGTTTGAATATGTAGCTGACTGTCTGGCAGATTTCATGAAGACCAAAGGGCTGAAGCATAAGAAATTGCCCCTCGGCCTAACCTTTTCTTTTCCCTGCAGACAGACCAAACTGGAAGAGGTAAGGCTGGGGATGGGGAAGGAGAAAGCGGTGCAGAATTCGGAGTTTGGGGCTGGAGAACGTGTGGGAGTCAGGCTGGAACCGGAGGGATCAGCAGGACTTTCCTTGCCGTCTTTGTTTTTCTTCTTGTAAACAATGACGTGGAAATGGGAGGCAGAGAGCTGGTTAACGTGGCTGCCTGGATTGCATGCTGCACGTGGGCACAGCCCTGGGGTGGGGGGAGGTGTGGATCTCACCCCTTCGCTCAGTGGGTCTCAGACCCGGGAGGCATCAGAATTTCCTGGAGGGCTCGTTAGACGTGGGTTGCTGGGCCCTGCTGGGGTGTCTTAATCTGTGGGGCCTCAGGTTTGCATTTCTAGCAACCTCGTGATCGGGATGCTGCTGTTCTTGGGGACGACAGACAGCTGACTAGGACCGGAGAGGGAAGGCGCGGGGAGCCTCACCTCTACACGAGCTCTAAGGGAGAGGATGGCGGTGGGGTCACTGGAGGGACAGTGTTGCTGAGCAGACGCCACACCGGGGACATAGGCTCAGCCGTGCCACTAGCCAGCCAAGGGCTCAGGAAGTTCATCTCTGTGTGTCTCGGACCTTCAATTTGTAAACAGGGAGATGTCAAACCCAATTTTATGTAAATCTGTGAAAATAAATAAAGGTCCATATAAAAGGAGAATAAACTTTCTGAGACCAGGGGGTTATGGTCAAGGGGCAGGCCTTCCTGGGTCACTCTTGTCTGGGGCGGGAGCTCACGAACACGACACTCAGCTGGTCACGACACCCAGCTGACAGCCACGCCATGGACGACCTTGGTAGCGTGGACCGCCTTGGGATGTGTGTGATACTGCTGACTTATGGGTATCAGAGAGTGGGCAGGGAATGGGTTTTCAACTCCCGCGGACCTGGCTTTGAATCATTGTTCAGGAAGGTTGTGTGCCCTGGGAAGTCACTTAACTCTTGGAGCCCCTTGTTTTCCTATCTGTAAAACTTGCTGTGTCAGGGTAAACCTCAGACCAAACACCCACAATGCTCAGCACTGCGCCTGGTGTGTCCGTGGTCACTGAGGACAAGGATGATTGTCCTCGATTCAACAGATGCCTCGGAAGGGCAGGCACTGTTCTACATCGTTCTTCCTCTCCACCCCCGGGTCTCGATCACAACGTCCTGTGTTTCCTAGGTTTCTGATAACTATCATAACTATCTGACAATCGAAGGGTGTAATCAATCATTTACTTGATTGCATTGAATGATAATTTACCATCATCTATCCATACAGGGGATGGACTGAACTTTACTTTTTCATTATTTTATAAAGAATGGATTCGGGAAAAACAGTAGAGGAAGTTTTCAGGGAATGTAGGAAGAGGCGGGGGAAGCTTTGCTCTGAAGTGTCTTCTCTTTCTGGCTGGAAGAGCAGAGTCCCTGCAGTCAGTGGAGGAAGCGGGAGGCGGAGTCAGGAATCAGGCCCAGAGGTGGGACTCACCCAGCAGTGCGACACCTCTTATTCGAGCTCCGGAGATCCCACAGAGAAGGAAGAAAATTCTCGAGCTCTGTGGGAGTCAGTTTGACTTTGAGAACCAAACTTGCATATTTTCTTAATAACTAGGGGTGAATGTATGGTTTGTCCATCCAGGATTTTGGCATTTATCTAAGTCAAATACCCACAGCATCTAATAATGATAATAATGCACTTCGGATTTTAACACAGTGTCTTACACTATGCTGATACTCTATATTTGAGAAAGATTGTAGCTCAGAGAGGTTAAAGACTTGCCCAAGGCCACACAGTTAAGTGATGCCACCCAAGCTCGCACGCCCCTGATCAAATTGCCTTTTCAGAAAGACACGGCCCTGGGACTTTGTTTCAGTGCCAGCAGGTGCCCGAAAGCATCCGGCCCATTTTGTGCCGTATTCCACTGAGGATTTTCAAGGAACATTTGAACTCGGAAGGGTGCTGGGTTATATCAAGGAAGTGGGAAATGCTTTTAGTCACCAAAGTCTAGTTGAATTACTTGTAATTTATACAGTTTCCTCTTAAACTGCCTCTCAGTGAAGTCGAAAGTGAGGAAGAAAAGCTTTAGACACAGGGGATGAATGAATGACAGTTAACCGAGTGTGGGCGTGGCTGGTTAGCCTCGCTCGAGCGGCGGGTGGAGATTTAGTGAAGCTCACTCCCAGGCTCTTGGACAAGGTGGTCCCATGGGCCAAGTAAGTGCGGGAGGAGGGAGGGAGGGGAAGCCTTCATGAAGAGGTCTGGCCAAGGGGTCTTCTTCGTGAAACTAAAACATGGTCAAAGAAGGGAAGGCCATGGAAATGAAAAAAGGGTGTCACTTTGTTTGTTTTGTCTTTGTTTTGTTGTTTTTTTCATGAGAGAACAGAAAAGTCTCAGTTGAAGAGAAATTTTTCTGTGTGTATGTGTTTCTAATGATAAAATGGTAATATTTATTCAAGATAGGAAAACAAAAAGAGAGAGGGAGAGGGAGACAGAAATGGAAAGGTTTAAGGAAGAAAGTAGAAGTCACCCGTAATCCCCACCTTCAGAGATACCCACTACTAGCATTGGGTTTTCATGTTCATATTAGATGATGTTGTGCTGTATATATAGTTTTAAAAAATACAGTGGTAGATACTGCTCTTTTTCATCACAGTACATCACAGGCATTTGTTTCTTACGCCTCTAAATATCCTACCCCCAACAGGTCACATGTTGTCCCTGGCACCTTTTTGGTGGGAAGGCCACCCCACCATGTCTCAGACGAAGCAGGGGCGTTACCACAGCCTGTGAAGGCAGAAGTTAGGGAGAGTGGCCACTAGGTGGTGCTATGGTGCAGGGGGAAAGCCTGGTCGCAAGCTGGGAGTCAGAGGCCTGCATTCCAATTGATCTCTGCCCTTCACTCCCTTTGGGACCAGACAGATTTCCTTCCTCTCTGAATCTCAGCATCATTACCCATAAACAGATGGGATTGGGAAGATGTGGTCAGGATGTCTGTGAGTTTGGGCTCAGCTACTCTTGACTGTGTGTCCTTCTAGAACCCTAAGTCTCCAAGGCCTCGTCCGGTCTGAAAAATTCTGATTATTTGCTAGTTTAGACATGCAACTCTTGCGAAACACCGATTTTAAGCAAATATCTGATAATGCAAATTGAGAGCCATTTCTGTAGTTGAAATTAAGTTCCCGAGGGAGTTCTACAAGGTAATACCATGTTAGTTGTGTTCTGTGGACCTGGCAAACCATATGTTCTGCACACGGATACGCATCTACCACACACCAGGTGCTTCCATCAGACCGTTCCTGTGACGGGGGCGGGGAAGCGGCGTTTCCATTCCACAGATGAGTGAACGGGGCGTTAGAGAGGTTCAACGGCTGTGCGACGTCTTGTGATTCCGGGTGTCCTGACTCTTTATCAATTATTCTTTCTGCCACTACATGTAACATTTCAAACTGTTCAGAAGAGAATAATAAAGATGCTTAAATTAATAGAAAAGGCCTCTGAAGAGATATTGAAAGAATTGGGGTGATTCAGCTCAAAGAGGGGGGGTGCACTTTAAACATAAAATTCTTGCAGCGCATTTTCAGAACTGAGTGCCCTCTTTGTTTAGACTGCCTCTGAATTCTTCCCCCAGGGTGTCCTGCTTTCCTGGACCAAGAAGTTCAAGGCCCGGGGAGTTCAGGGCACAGATGTAGTGGGCTGTCTAAACAAAGCCTTGAAAAGTCACCAGGTGAGGAGTTCGCATCAGACAGGGGTGGTCTGCCAGTCCCCGCCCCTGTTCCTTGGGGGCGGGGTCTAACTCGTGCGGGGGTGCGGGGGTGCGGCGCGGGGAGGACCGGAAAAGGAGCTGATCTCAGGGAAGGTCTCACGTGGTACAGATGTGGCTATTTGGATAAACCCACTGGTGAGCATTGGTATGTGGAGCTTGTTCCTGTTACTGCTGAAAGGTGGGCGGCACTCTGCTAGGGCCTCCCCAGCTGCCTCGGCGGGTGGGGAGGGGGGGCGCGGGCGCTTGTCTTGGTCAGACCCCTGCTGTGTGCAATGCTCCAACCCCCACCTCTCCCGAGGTTTAAAAGATCACGTTCTTTCCAGTCTGGTTCTCGATTGCACTTCCACTCTCTATTCGTTGAGTATTTGTATTTGTTTAATAAACTTTATAATAACCCAAAGGCAAAACATGCTCCTTGCTAGTTGAAGAGTACACAAATAAACCTGGATTAGTTGCTACCCTGACAGCGAGAGGACTGTTTTGATGTACCCCCTCCTAGTTCTTTCCCTCTTTAAAGCTGCGATCGATCAAGATCGATCGTATTCTTTGGTAGTCTGTGTCTCTCTCTTACAGTTTTCACTTTACTTTAAAATGCTCCCCCAAGCCCCGGGGAACAGTAGCGCAATAACCAGGTTGTCTTGGCAGAAGGGAAACCCAGGCAGGAAGCCCATGGTGCTGCCCATGGAGAGGACTTGGCTGACGCTGCCTGAGGTGACCCCACAGTGAGGACTTCAGTGTCTTCTCCTGGAAACACCTTTGCTTCCTGGATAAACATGCTTTCCTCAGGGTCCCTCAGACGAGGGCTGGAGCCCCATGGGCTGCCCCTCACATTACCATTGCACGGAGGCCTTCAGCCACAGAGCAGGAGGAGCATGGGTCCCCTCTGCAACCGCTCTTTCAACTCACCTAGACCCCTGAACCGTGACGAAGGCTTGGTTCACTGCTTTCCAGTTTTCTGTGGGGAAGGATGAAGGGATAACACCCCCTTCCTGCCCACTGATGCCTTCTGGGGCTTGTGTTCCAACAGGACCTCGATGTGGATATCCTGGCCTTGGTCAACGACACCGTGGGAACCATGATGACGTGTGCCTATGATGATCCCTTCTGTGAAGTTGGTGTCATCATTGGTACTCAGTTTGACTTGCTTTTCGGAGATGGGGGAATGGGGCTGGCTTAGGGTTTAGTTTCAGCAAACGCCGAGTAAATTCTGTGGGAAGGGTACTGGGGCTTCCTACTTAGGAGAACATGAAAACCCAGTGCACATATCCATCCATTCGTTCAACAAGTATTTCCTGGGTGCCCATCGAATGTCAGGCCCTGTCTCTGCATTGGGTTCTCAGTGGTGAGTTAACACTCAAAGGCTCCTGTGCTCCTGGAGCTTTCAGTGGGGAGGTGGGTGGAAGGCAAACAAGGCCTAAATAAATAAGACGGTTTCAGGTGGTGCCGACTGTGATAAAGAAAAGAGAGCAGGGTGCAGTGATGGAGAGTGAGTGCAACCCCCCTCGGAGGGGTCCGTTTGAGCAGGGACCTCAGCGATGAGGAGGAGGGAGCAGAGTGGAGATGGAGAGGCCAGTCTGTGTCCAAGGAAAGAGGAAGCCTCTGTTCTCTGCAGTGAGAATGAGTGCGGTGCTCAAGGAGCCCTGAAGGGCTGAGTGGGGTCTGAGTCGGAGTGAGCCAGGGCTGAGAACAGCCCGGTGCTCAGGTTAGAGAGAGGGGATGGGACTGGACAGATTGCATAGGTCGCAGACACACTCACTGTAGGATCTTTGGCTTCTACCCCAAGGGAGCCAGGAAGGCACCGGAGGGCACTGGGTGGGGGATGGACAAATGGGGCGTGCATTTTGAAAAAGCTCATTTTGGCTGCTGTGTGGAGAACTGGCTATTTGGGCCAATAGTGGAAGCAAGGTGATTGGCCAAGAGAAGACTGCACTGTGTGGGCGAGACGTGGTGGTGGCCTGTACCAGGAGGTGGCAGTGCAGTGCAGGCACCCAGTGGGTGGTCCCTGAGCTGGGAGGGGAGGGGTCCGAGAGAAGGCAGCGTGGGGGGCAATCAAAGCCTAGTGGGTCGATTTAAAGGCTGTTCTTGTGTATCCCCTTCCACCTGCTCATTCCTTTACCGCTGTTGGGAAACATTTTCTGGATTGTTTTTTCTTGCTCAGCCCGACTTTCCCGAAGGGCAGGATCTTTATACGTCAGGGGCTTGATCTGCCTTCCAGTTTCTGGAGCCTCAGAATAGGACCAGCACTTGCCAGGCCCGGCACCCAGCCACTGCCCTCTGTGTCTGTCCTAGTGACTACGCACGGTAGCTCAACACAGGGTTACGTGTGTGCCATGCCTAAGCCGTGTCCATACTTTCCCGAGAAAGCTTTTCCCACATAGTGTATTACGTTTGTCTCTCTGCATTTCTTATTTCTCATTTCTCATGGCTTTAAAATCCTCAGCCCAGCCCTGGCTGGTGTGGCTCAGTGGATTGAGCACCAGCCTGCAAACCAAAGGGTTGCAGTTTGACTCCCAGTCAGGGCACATGCCTGGGTTGTGGGCCAGGTCCCCATTATGGGGCATGTGAGAGGCAACCACACATTGATGTTTCTCTCCCTCTCATTCTCCCTCCCTTCCCCTCTCTAAAAATAAATAAATAAAATTCTCAGCCCAGGGTTTCAGCCAGGGGAAGACACTTAAATTTTTTTAAGAAACAGCTTTACTGAGGCACACAGATTTTCTCATCTTAGGTGTACAATTCAGTAAATTTTAGTAAATTTACAGTTTTGTAACCATCACCACTATTTGATTATAGAACACCTCCGTCATCCCAGTAGGTGCCAAACAGACAGTGCCCATCTGTGGTCACTCCCTGGTACTCAAATGTTCTAGGCATTTCCTGGGACTGACTTTGTGTTGGAATAATGAAAATTTGCTTTCGTATGTGGCAGCTAATCACTGTCAAAGATAAGGATATAGTTTATGCTAGGAGCAATTTGTGGCAGTTCATGAATAAAGAGTATCTTTACTATCAAATAGAGAAGAGATGAAGTGGCTTAGGAAAAGGATTTAAAAAATTACTGTGGGTTGGTAATTTAAAAAAAAAAGAAGATTAGGTTAACTCATCCTCCTCTGTAAATGTGCTTTGTCAGCTCTCATACATATTCAGTAGGGACTTCCTCACAATCAACTTAATTCATGACAGCAAACCACTGGCAGCCCGAGAAGTGTAGACTTCACACGTCAGCTTTATTCACATGAACTCCTGGCCTCGCCGCAGCTGCTGCCTCCCTCAGTGAGAACCAGCCCGGCAGTGGATCCGAAGCACTCCGTGCTGTATTCAGGGAACTCTCGGGCAGCGAAGGGTTCTCCCTGCCTTTGTCCAGCCCGGAGCCCTTCCATCTTCGCATCTTCTCTCCCATCCCTTGTTCAGGCACTGGCACCAACGCGTGTTACATGGAGGACATGAGCCACATTGACCTGGTGGAGGGCGACGAGGGGAGGATGTGCATCAACACCGAGTGGGGGGCCTTCGGGGACGACGGGGCCCTGGAAGACATCCGCACTGAGTTTGACCGCGATCTCGACCTCGGCTCTCTCAACCCAGGGAAGCAACTGTGAGTGCCCTTGTGCTGTAACCCGGACATCAGCACCAGGAAGTACCCGTCACTCGGGACGAATTATACCTGGGGGGCTTTTTAGTTGCAACCAGTTTTCCATCACAGTGAGCGTATGAGGCAAGGTTTGTATTTTAGTTTCACGAGCAGATGAGGAAATGAAGCCAAGGAAATGGAGTGATTTTGCTTTGATTATAACCGGATTCTAATTCAGTCCATGTTTTTGAAGCATGTGTGTGTGTGAGGCAGGGGAGATACAGCTATGAACCAGATGACGTGGGTCTTGCCCTCTTGGTGCATTTGTACAAGTGGCCACAGAACAAACCAGTGCAGCCGGAGGCCTGACCACCCAGCACCCGGCGGGACTCCTTCCCAGCCTCCTGTCTCCTGGGCGCCTTCTCAGCCCTGACCCCACAATCGCCTGCAGGGGAACTACTGAGGGTCCTGCTCAGGGCTGTCTGCGTGCTGTGCTCTCACTCCCGAGGGCAGCTCCACACGCCGCCTGCCTTTCCTTGCTACACAGTGTCTCACACATTATTCCAGCTCCTTAAGTGCTGACTGGAAAAACACTAAAAATTAAAAAAAAAAACAACTTCAGACTTAAAGAAAAGTTAAGAAAATCATACAAAATTCCTGTTCTTTCAGATTTCCTAAATAGTAACATTCTTTCTCGCTCTGTTTGTATATGGTTATATACCTATAAAATACACATATGTGCATAAAATTATTTTTCTGAACCATTTGAGACTACGTTGCATACATAATATCCCTTCACTCCTTAATACATCAGAGCGTATTACCTGAAAATGAGTACTTTGTCTTACATAACCAAAGTATAATTATCAAAGTTAGGGAGTTAACACATAATCTGGGATCTATTTTACAGACCTTATTCAAAGTTCACCCGCTGACCCACCACTGTCCTTTCTGAAAAAGGAAACAGTTGTGCTGGCCCTCGGTCCAGTCCGGGGTCACGCACTGCAATTTGCTGCCACGTCTCTTTAGCCTCCTTTAACCTTGAACTCTTCCGGGTGTCTCTTTGTTTGTCATGACCCTGAAGCATCCGAAGCTGCTCATTTTACAGAATGCCCCCTCGACTTGGGTTTGTCTGATGTTTCTTCACGACTAGATTCAGGTTGTGAGTTTTCGGCAGGAATATCCCACAGGTGGTGTGTGCGTGTCCCTCGGTGCCTTGAATCCGGAGGCCCGTGCTTGTCCCGTTACCAGGGCTGCGATTCGAATTGCTTGGTTAGAGGGATGTGCGACAGGTGTCCCCACCGTGAGGGCGCTGTTATTCCCTCCACAATGGATGAGTATCTGGTGAAGAGATGCCGTGAGATGATGTGCGTATCCTGTTTCTCATTAAACTCCCATCTTCTCATTTTGGCACCCGCTGATGGATTTCTAAGTCCTGCATTTCCTCTGTCGGTTTGTTGTTATTCTGCTGTAAGGAAGAGGCCCCTCATCCTCTCCATTTATCTCTTTAAACTGATATGGATTCATGGAGGGTTTTTTTTATTTTATGGGTTATAATTTCTTCCCATTTTTTTTAAATCAATTTTTTTTTAGATTTGGCCAGTGGGATCCCCCTTAAGCTGGTCCCTGCATCCTCTTGACGAGTTCCCATCACTCCTTTTTTTCTGGCCCAGTCAGATGCTCCAGGTCCTCCGTGTGTTTTCCCGGCCCCAGCCCTGGGATCAACCATTTTCCCAAGAAATCTTGGTGAATAAAAAGTTTAAGTACCTCCGAGAACATATTTAAACACAGACCTGCCGATGTGGGAGGCGCGTTTCTGCTTCGGACGCGCCTGCTCCCCAGCACACACCCAGAGCTTCACCGGTGGTGCAGCGCGGCCGCGGCCCGAGGAAGGGCTGCCCATTCGTTTTGGACTTTGTCACCCTGCTGTCCCCATTTCACTTCAGATAATTTCCACTCCCCCAAATCCAGTCTGGATCTATTTTGTCTTTTGCTTCTGCTATGTCCTAAGATTTTTAATAATGAAATTGATAAAGTTGGTTAGGAAACAGGTTTGCTTGGTTTTTCTATCTTGTTATATTTGGAGAATCAAAACATACTTAATAGTTTATCTGGGAAATAATCAGTAACTGCTTGGCGGGTGCAGACCAGAGTCCAAGTGTAGGGACCTTCCACCCACATTTTCATGGAACCTCCTGGGACCGTCCAAGGCCACCTCACAGATGCAGCGTCCTTCTCTCTTGGACAGAAGCTTGGTGTAGGAGTTGGAAGCATCTGAAATTTGGATTTGTCATGCCATAATTGGGAGAGTACCTGCGTCTCTAAAGTTGAGATTCCTAATGCCTAACATGAGGGTGACACCCCCATGGCCGGGGTGACCGAGTTATAGATTCTTGCAGTCCAGCACTTTGTGAGCAGGAAACCTCTGGTTTCATCCTCCCTCTTTTTCAGGTGAGGAGAGGGCACCCCAAGCTGGGACGGGGCCAGAGGGCTCCTGACCCAAGGCACGGCCCTCCCACCACTCATGCTCCTGGCTTTGGGAAAGGATGCTGCGTAACCAAAGGTGTTTCCGCCATGATCTGTTCACCAAATTGCAGGTTTGAGAAGATGATCAGCGGCCTGTACCTAGGCGAACTCGTCAGGCTCATCTTGCTGAAGATGACCAAGGCGGGCCTCCTGTTCGGTGGCAAGAAATCCTCCAGCCTGCACACCAAGGGTGCGATTGAGACCCGGCATGTGGCAGCCATGGAGAAGTAAGCTGCTGGTTTGGTCCCTCCCACCTTGCTCCAGAGGGGCTAGTTCCGGGCGGGCAGCCAAGGCCTGGCGTTCTCGCCATGGCGATTGTGGGCCCAGAGAAGCAACCAGATCTTCCTTCTTCACCGGGCTGGTTTTAGACCTGGTCACAGCTTGAGGAGGGTTAGCAATGCCTGCCATGACTCGGATGCGACTTCTTGCTGCTGGTCTCATCAGCCTGGGGTTCTGCTGATGGAGGTCTGCACCCTCTTCAGGTTTTGTTGCCTTCTGCCTCCCCAAAATGGTGATTTATAAAATTTTTAGGGTCACAGACCCCTTTGAGAATCTGACTCAGGTTCTGGACCAAAATGTATATTTGCACACAGTTTTGCTTATGATATCAGGGCATCTTTGGACCCATTAAAGCCCACACATGGAACTCAAGTTAAGAATGCTTGCTACAGCAAGAGCCTTCTCTACCTGGTCCTCTTGGGGGCTGGCTTTGGCTTTGGTGATCTGAGGCCTCATACACAGGTCCCTGCAATGGGGTCTGGCCCTAGTCAACTCAGGGTCCTCTTCCTCCAGCTTAGAAACTGCAGCATTGCCTTGAACTTTGTAATCAGTTTAGATTCTGAGCTCAGTGAAATGGCATCTGACTCCCAGAGTCTGTATTTGTGCAGAACTTGACAGGGACTGAGTTTCAGCAAAAGGTAGTACAGTACAAGGTGATTAAAAGGGTGGACTCTGTAATCTAATTGCCTGAGTTCAAATCCTGGCCCTTGTACTTACTAGCTGTGTGACGGTGGACAGGTTACTTACCCTCTCTGTGCCTTAGGTTTCTCTTCTGTGCAGTATGGTAATGGCAAAATTTCTCCCAGGGTTGTTGTGAAGATTGAGTTGATCCATGTCAGATCCTTAAACAAGTGCCTGGGACGTAGTGAGTGCTCAGTAAACGGTGGCTCCTACGACTGGTTTTTATATTGTTATCATTATTACATGACTATGTGCCAGCCTGTTTCTTGTCACCGGAGAGGTGAGAAAGCTGGCTCTCCGAGGGGTCTGCCATGGGATGGAAAAGGGCGGCCCTCTCATTCCTGTCCTCTGGCCAGGTACAAAGAAGGCCTTGCCAACACAAGGGAGATCCTCACGGATCTGGGCCTGGAGCCCTCAGAGGCGGACTGCGTTGCGGTCCAGCACGTCTGCACCATCGTCTCCTTCCGCTCAGCCAATCTCTGCGCCGCGGCCCTTGCAGCCATCCTGACACGCCTCCGGGAGAATAAGAAGCTGGTGCGGCTCCGGACCACGGTGGGCGTGGATGGCACACTCTACAAGATACACCCTCAGTGAGTGCTGCCTGCAGCCCCGCCCCCACAAACACGCCCCCCCCCTCCCTCCCCGGGACAGAGTTCCTGGGTTCTTTCTAAACTAAGCCGCTTCTCTGGAACCAAGCATCTCCTGTTGGTTCTGAGAATTCAGGGGAAAGGCTGAATTCAGAGACTGCACCCCCCTAGCTGGCCGAGTTGCCTTGGGGGATTATTCTTAGAGAAATATTCTCCAAAAGCCACTAATTGCCTGACTAGCAAAGCCAATCATTTCTGTGTTTAGCCATCTGGCCACCCATCTATCCATCTATTCATCCATCTACTCATTGTTTTTTGACTACCTACTGTGTAGTAAGATTGGAAAAACACACTCAGTTATAGATGGGGAAAAACTGGGATGACAGAGATTGCCAAGTTCCCACGAAAGATACTGGTAGGAAAACATGTGGAAATGAGAATTTCCCAGGAGGGAGTACAAAAACCTCTCTGGCTAATGGGTGGTATTGGAAGTCAGGTTGGTGCCCCTGGAAAGAGCTGGGGACAGAACCCTTCCCCTTTGGACAGAGATGATGTTTGGCCAATACATTATCTGCATGGACATAATATGTAATATGCATGGATATGCCCTATTAGTTGAAATGTTAGTGGTAAAATAGCCACTTCTTTGAGCCTCCTGAGTGTCCTGTCCACTGTCCCAGCTGCCCAGTCCCTCCCCCAGTCATGCTCTGCCCCTGCACCATCTAGCAGCTAAAGGAGTGAGTCCTGGCCCAGCAGAGCTCCCCAGGCTCCCGCTCTACTGCTCCACCTGTGTCTGCTCCCTCTGGCCGGGCCTGGGCCTTTGTAATCTTCACGTGTTTTGCCATCACCCTTGCTTTCAGATACCCCAAACGCCTGCACAAGGTGGTGAGGAAACTGGTCCCGAACTGTGATGTCCGCTTCCTCCTGTCAGAGAGTGGCAGCAGTAAGGGGGCAGCCATGGTGACAGCGGTGGCCTCCCGGGTGCAGGCCCAGCGGAAGCAGATTGACAAGGTGCTGGCCTTGTTCCAGCTGACCCGAGAGCAACTTGTGGGTGTGCAGGACAAGATGCGGGCTGAGCTCGAGTACGGGCTGAAGAGGGACACCCACCTGCTGGCCACGGTCAAGATGCTGCCCACCTACGTCTACGGGGTGCCAGATGGCACAGGTGGGCCATGCACACAGCTCTCTTTCCTGAAGGGCCCCCAGAATTCCCATAGACCTCCTTAAATCCAGTTAGGTTTTTCTAAGAGCTTTGGATTCAAGTCTACGATGTTGAGAGGGGGAGTAGCATAGAAGGTCAGTATTCCTTCTGAATCTCTTTGCTGTGGTTGCTCTGAGGCACTGGCCATGAAAGAATAGTTCAGTTAGGGGGTGTGTGTATGTCTGTGCAGTTGAGACCATGGAGTGTATCCTACTTTGTTGGCAAACCAGAGACCCAGATGCTGTCCCCAAGAGCTGCCATGTGGACACTTGGAGTTGTCTGGCTTGTTTTCCTGCTGGTTTCTCTGCCTTTCTTCTCTCCCGAGGCTTGCCTCTCCCTTCTCATCACTTCCTGCCTCTGACCGCGACCTCTGATCTTTGTCCCCGTCCTCCGTGCTTGGCCGAGGAGCTGCTAAACAGTGGGGTCAGTTCTGTAGACAGGTCGCTTCCCCTCTTCGGACCTCAGGAGCCACACTCGTGCCATAGTTTGTTTTTGAACATATTACTTCATGCTCACAACCACTTTGCATGTTACGTAAAGAGAGAATGAGACTTATTTCATGGATGCCAAAACAGACTCAGAGGGGCTAGATGGCATTCTTAAGGTCACGTTGCTGTACTTTGGATCTCTCACCCCAAAAAAGAGCTTTTACAAAGCCAATATCCTTTGAGTCTACATGGGGAAAAAAATGAAAGTGATAAGGGTCCTGTTCAGTTACTCATCTCTTCTTCCCTTTTATTTTCCTGCCTTTATCCCTCAAAGTTTTGCTAAGCAACTGCTTTGTGTCAGGCTGTGCGCTAGTCCTGGTGATATAACAATGAGGAAACACAGTCCCCACCCTGGTGCAGCTCCCATTCTGTCAGGCCGACAAGACAATAAACAAACACCGTATGATGCCATGTTAACGATGGGTGTCACGAGAAAGAGCAGATAAGGGGTAAGAGTGATGTCTTTGGTAAATTCAAGGAACAGCAAAATGATCAGTGTGGGTATAGCAGAATGAGTGAGGCAGAGAGCAGGGTGAAAGTCTTCACAGAGCAGACTACGATGTTCTGCAGTGTCGGAGAAGTGAAAGGCGATGGTTGGTATTGAGGGGTGAACTTGATATGGTTTCTTAATAGTCAGATGGGGTCTGGGAACCTGGGGAGGGGATGAACAGTTCCTCTCGCCCACACAGACAGGATGGAACCACCTTTCTGAGTCCCTGGGAATCAGGGAAGCCTGGGCTGATTCACCCTCAGGGGCTCCTTGGGTATCAGTATCATGTGTGGCCTTTACAAGACACCAAGAAGCAGGCAGGCCTCAGACAAGTGGAACCTAGTCCTTTGACACTGTGCTCGGTGACCTCCATGTCCCTCTGGCCCCTGAGCCCTGGAGGGCAGGCTCTGAGTCTGCCACTCTTCTTCATCTCCTCTTCCTCCCAATGCCTCCGCACGAGTCCCTGCTCCATGCGTGGTGGTGGGACGGAGCCCTCGCTCTCTCCACCGCAGAGAAAGGAAAGTTCCTCGCCCTGGATCTGGGGGGCACGAACTTCCGGGTCCTGCTGGTGAAGATCCGCAGTGGACGGAGGTCCGTGCGCATGTACCACAAGATCTTCGCCATCCCTCTGGAGATCATGCAGGGCACCGGCGAGGAGGTAAAAGTCAGGCGGGGGGTTCTGTGCTCCACGGTGCCAGCCTGCCGCCCTGTGTCACCGCCAGCCTGGTATGACTGCCACTCTCTCCCTGTAGCTGTTTGACCACATCGTGCAGTGCATCGCCGACTTCCTGGACTACATGGGCCTCAAGGGAGCCCAGCTGCCTCTGGGCTTCACGTTCTCCTTTCCCTGCGGGCAGACGCGTATCGACAAGGTGAGACAGCCCGCCCGGGGGCTTCCCCTCCACCTGGGGGGGTCTCCAGGTACCTCTGAGTCACTGTTCGTGTTATTGAGGGGTCTTAGGTCAGGGCAGCTGGGGAAACGTGATTGAGAATTTTAATTATTTAATTTTTCTATTATGTTGCATTTTTTGTTACTACTTTTTCAATTGCAATTCACAAAAGTATCAAGGGCAATAAACAATAAAGGGACATGTACCTGAGACCACCGTTAAACGAGAGATCAAATCACATAATGGAGAGGTAGGCTGAGGTTAGGCCACGTGGAACACTTTGGCAGCGACAGCGTGAGTGTCTGGGCAGCCCTGGTGAACTGGGAGCACAGTGGGCTGCGGGGTCTTTATCGTCGGGCGAGCAAAGGCTTACCAGCTCATCTAAAGATGTGCTCTTCTTTGCAAATACTAGATTCTCGGAAGGGATTTATTACCTGGACACTTACCTAACTGACATTGAAGAACATAAAAAATAATAATTTTACTATGTTATTCATAATAATTTAGAAACATGTATCACAAGGTCTTTCTTGAAATTCTGGGGTGGAAGCGCCATTCACCAGCCGGTGAGTGTGGGGCCCTGTCAGGCTCACTGCCAACCAAGGCAGAGGAGCCGAATGCCGCTCGCCGGCGTCCAGGGAGAACGCTGCTCAGCGCGTCGACCAGAGCACTCGCGACAGTAGCAATAACAAGGGCACCGAAGATTTGTCAGGATTTTGTTTAATCCACTCGGTGTCTCCATGAGCTACACACTGTTTTTGTTTTGCTATATTTTTTATCATTTTTAATGATAATGGCAAAATATGCATAACATAACATTTAACACTTTATTTTTTAAAACATTTTATTGATTTTAGAGAGAGACAGGAAGGAAGAGAAAGAGAGAGAGAACCATCCATCCATTTTTCCAGTTATGTGTGCATTCACTGGTTCATCCTGACTGAGGCTCGAACCTGCAACCTTGGTGTATTGGGGTGATGTTTTAACCAACTGAGCTACCTGGCCAGGGCCAACACATTGTTTTTAAGTGTAGAGTTTTGTGATATCAAGCACATTCGCATTGTTGCACAACCACCATCATTGTCCATCTTCTGAACTGTTCCATCCTCCCAAACTGAAACTGCATGCCCACTCGACAGTAACTTCCCATCCGCCTCTCCGCCCAGCCTCTGGCAGCCACCCTGCTACCTTCTGTCACTGTGGATTTGGCTGCTGCAGGTGGAGTCATGCCACATCCTCTTTGTAATTGTCTCATTTTACTTAGCATAACGTCCTCAGGGCTCCTCCCTGTTGTGGCACGTGTCAGAATTTCTCTCCTTTTAAAGGCTGACTAACATCCCACTGCACATATACACACAGTTTTTAATCACTGTTTTGTACTGGAGAAAGACGGAGGCCCAGACAGGTTCGGTGAGTCGTCCGAGGTGCCTCACTCGTAAGAGGCGGTGGAGTGGTCCCACCGGCACACTGGCCGGGGACCAGGCTCCGAGGGGCACGCTCTCGGCGCCAGTGGTTGTGAACTGTTGATATTTTGGCTCTAGTGCACAGCACACCTACCTGGATATAATCAACCCCCCCCCCCCAAAAAAATCAAATAATATCCATATTGTGTGCACTACACTCTATGTCTCTCCTACTTCACATTTCACAATGACATTGAGGCGTGCAGGGCTCATCCGATAGGGATGTGCAAAATGAGAAGGGGGTGGAGCTGTCCAGGGCTCTGAGAACGCTGTGGAAGCCAACGCGCCGAGGCCCGCCCCACTCCACGTCACTCACTCAGAGAACGGAGGCAGAGGGGTTCACAAGGCTGCATTATCTGGTTACAAGGCCGAGTTCTCAAAATTAAAAATGCCAGAATGCTAAGAGCCAGAAGGTCCACCCCTCAAGATTCGGTTTCTCAAACACATGCCCAAGGGGAAACGAATGAGGTTGTTCACTACCACGCTGCTTTTTAGTAATTTCTAATGAAAAATTAGAAATAACCCAAAGGTCTGTCAATGGAAAGAGACCAAATAAATAAATTATAGTGTATCAATCATAAGGAATCTATTGCTTGGTTTTTATTTAACAAACACAACTATAGTGCTTGTTCTGAGTCAGACACCGTTCTGAGAGCTTCCCATATGTTACCTCCCGACCTGGGGGATGGCAGAGTGCATGAGTTAAGGGTGTGCGTGGGCCTGGGAGCTCATCGTCTCAGTTTGAATCTTGCCTTCTACGCTATGGGCTGTGTGACCTTGGGCAAGTTTGGTTTACTCACTTGAAAAATGGAGGTAAAAGTAGCACTTAGTCTATAGTTAAGTTTAGTGGATTTTTAAAGTTTTTGTGTAATTATACTTTTGGAATATTTTGCTCAGTGAAGGAATATGTCAGATCTGTGTTAATTGACCTGGAAAGGTCCAGACGGTTCATTACTAAGTGAGCAAAACAAATTGCAGTAGTCCATAAGCAATATGAATTTATTTAAAAATACATGCAAACAGAAAGAGGTCTGGAAGCATTCATATCAGAGAGATCATAGAGGCTAGCTAGGTCTCTAGTTGGGGGGATGGGGAGTTACAGGGGACTTTAATTTTTTACAGTGGTAATGCATTCCTGTATTACTGCTGTCGTTAAACACACAATGCGGGGGCGGGGTGTGGACCCACCTGTGGCTGTCCGTGGTCCTGAATGATCAATGGGTGCCAGGACGCAGTTGCTCCGTATGACCCAGAACACTGGGAGTTTTGACACAGAACTCCCAGAAGTTCTGACAGGTTCATGAAGACACAGCTTAAAAGGAGGGGAAACCAATGGAGCAAAGCCACTGATAGCTGGGGAGAAAAAAGAGAGTTTTAAAACATTGTTTTTGTGTAATTGCAACTAAAAAGAGATTTTTCCGTTGGGAGCACATCTCTAATGTCCTACAAATATCCACCAGGAAAGAAGAAAGGGAGCCCAGCTTTCCAAGGGCTTTGGAGAGAAGAGGGGAGGCTGGGGTTGAGGGCCTCGGGTGAGGTGCCGTCCAGCCCCCCGGGCTGGGAGCACTGCTGTCCCAGGAGTTCTCCTGGCCTGGACGGCACAGCTCCATTGGTCCTCACCACCTGCCTTCTCAGGCTCTGGAGCCTGAGGCTAAACTAACTGCTGCTCTCAGCTAACAGGATAGCCTTTGCTTCCTTTTAAAAATTAAAAATACTTTTTTCTTAGTATTATAAAAAAGTATACCTGCTAATTTTAAGAAAACTAGAAAATACAGCCAAAGAAGAGACTAAAAAGCACCCATAATCTTGCACCCAGAGAAACAACTATCCACCCTCCATTTCAGACTTTTTGCCAAGGGGGTGAGAGAGCACTAGAGAAGGACAGTTATTTTAAAAAGAGTAGTAGAATAATTCACCATCTGCACTTGTTTAATGTGTGTTCACCTTAGAGTGTATGGTGAACATCTTTCTCTAACATCTAACCTTCTCTTACAGCATGAGTTTTTATGGCTGTACAACATTTCCTGTATTGAAGTATGGGATGATAGACCCATGTTGTTGGAATGATAGGATGCCTCTGGTGTTTTACTGTGGAACAATGCTTTAATGAACATTCTGTAGCTTTATCTTTAATCACATCTTAATCTGTCCTTGGCTACGTTAGCAGTGAGGTTACTATGATCCAGGCCTTTGTTCTGTGTCGTCATAGCCAGGGGACACCAGTTGACCACTGATGAGTATGGATTGCTGTGATTATCTTTCTCAGCAGTGGACCCTGTCTGATCATCCTCCTTTGCAATGCCTCTGGGCCTAGCGTTAGGGCTGCAGAGATGCAAGCAGTCAAAAGCACACATATCTGACTACCTACTAGATGCTGAGATTGTGCAGTGGTCCCAGAAAACGACTTCTCAAGTGAATTTCCCCTTCTTTCTTTCAGGCAACGCTTATTGAGTGGACCAAGGGCTTTAAGGCTACTGACTGTGAGGGAGAAGACATGGTGGACATGCTCAGAGAAGCCATCAAGAGGAGAAATGTACGATGTGACGTTGAGGCTCATGGCTGACCCAGCGTCTTCCCCCGGGTCCCTGCTCTATCATCCTATGTCCAGTCCTCTAACTCTGACCACTGTCTCTCACACCCAACCCCCACCTTGGGTTGATATGCCCCTCCTGAGTCTGCTGGGCTTGCATGTTCTCCCTACAGCAGAGCTGCTTCCTTTGCAGGAGTTTGACCTGGACATAGTTGCAGTTGTGAATGACACAGTGGGGACCATGATGACCTGTGGCTATGAAGATCCTAATTGTGAGATTGGCCTGATTGCAGGTGAGTGGTCAGACATGTTCCATTGGCCTACTTCCATCTGATTCTTGGAGGTTCCTTTGTAACACAGTGAGGGACAGGGGTCCTTCCTTCCATTATACAGAGGCTCTGAAGCTGGCTTAGTCCAGGGAAGAGATGAAGTTAAGATTCTGATTCCAGGTTTTCTAACTGCTAAATCTTTACCTAATATTTTCTTCATTAAGGGTACTAAGCCAAGGTTATCCTTTCTGTTGAAGAAAGAGAATAATATAAAAAGAGAGGATTTTCAGTTATCCTGGGAGGAGGGAGACTGAAGTTGAGTCATGTTGGCCTGAGGCTGGATCCTCTGTTCTCAGATCTTTGCTGGCTCTCAGGGTGCACCGGATGGGAAGGAGTTGGGAAGAAACTCGAGAGATAAGAAGGGAAAGGCCTGAGCTGATGCAGGCATTTTAAGGGTCTTTGAGAGAACTCTGGCAGTGATTGAAGACCAGGGTGGATTCCAGGGGGATGACTCTCATTAAGAATTGGGGAAAAGGTTGGGAGTTGACCAGGTGGAGATGGGGGTGAAGGGCATTCCAACTGACAGGCACAGGTTGAGTAATGACAATCTGCAAAAGTGGTTTCAGTTGGTTGTCTGGGGTTCCTGGAGGTGAGTGGTGGGTAGAACAAGAAGATGGAAGTATATGCAGATGTCTTCAATGCCAGGTAAGAAGTTTCATTTCACTCTAACCCCTACCTACTTTGTGACCTTGGGCAGGTTACTTATTCTATCTGGTCTTGAATTTTCTCATCTATGGGTGGAGTTGGGCTAGATCTAAAAGAGAAAAGAGGTGAACTAATTTAATTAAATATAATAGTTGCCTGGACTGTTGTGTTGGGAACAGTTCTGAAGCCAGGTCATGGGCAAGGGAGAAAAGAGTGGCTTATAGATGACAAACGTTTGCTTGTCCGAGACTAGGTTATTCGCTCTGGTTGGTGTGGCTCAGTGGATTGAGCTCTGGCCTACAAACCAGAGGGTCATCTGTTTAATTCCCAATCAGGGCACCTGCCTGGGTTTTCCCAGTGGGGAGCATGTGAGAGGCAACCACAGACTGATGCTTCTCTCCCTCTCTTTCCCTCTCTCTAAAAATAAATAAATAAATAAATTCTTTAAAAAAAAAGACTAGGTGATTCCTCATGGTCCCTTCCAGTGCTGACTGGTAACTCTATGACTAGTTGGAAGCTCACTTTGTGTGTTTGTAGCTTGACAATGGTGATGATGGTGATGATGATGATATCACCATTTACTGAATACTTAATGCATGGAAAAAACTTACAAACATCATCTCATTTTTTAAAATTACAAATCTACAAGGTCTGTCCAGAAGCTATCCAGCCATGTAATATTAAAAATAGAGACATTTATTAAAGAAGATACAAGATATAAGATATATTGTATATGGGACAATGATGCCTCGGTCCCCTTCATAGTAGGCACATTGGGACCTCACACAGTTCTCCCAACTTTCATCAGTTGCCCATTGTATTTTCTTGAATCTTATTGAAGGTCTGAAATCCTTTCCCTTTCAAACGTGATTTTAGTTTTGGGAAAAGCCAGAAGTTGCAGGGTGCCAAATCTAGGCTGTGGAGGGGCTGAGTCACCTCAGTGATTTGATGTTTTGCCAAAAAACTGCACAAGACTTGATGCATGAGCAGGCATGTTATTGTGATGAAACTGCCAGTCCTCAGTTGCCCAGAGCTGTGGCCTTCTGAGTCTCCCAAATAGTTTCCATAGAGGAATGTTCAGGCATCATGCAAAATTTGATGCAGATTCATTGCTCTACTTGCTCAGTCATTTGGAATGTGATGGCTGCACAGTGCACATGCTCACTCAAAGGTGTCTCCTGCCCCCCCTGCCTAGTACAGTGAAGTTGTTGTTCATGCATGTGCACATTCAAGTCCACTCTCCTTGGCTGCCAGGTTACATTATTGTGCAAACTGTTCTCATTATATTAACGATGGCTGGACTTTTTCTGGATAGACCTCATAAAAGGCAGGTATTATTTCCTCTTTACAGATGAAGAAACTAGACCTCTGAAAGATGAGATACTTGTCTAAGGTCACTCAGCAATGAGGGTAAAGTTGGAATCCACACCATGTTGTATCTGACTCCAAGCCTAAATTCCTGTCCGCTGCACTCCACTGCCTCTCTAAGACCTGGTGGCGTCTTCCAAAGACTAAAGGCTCTGCACGATTCCTTCTAGGAACGGGCAGCAATGTGTGCTACATGGAGGAGATGAGGAACATAGAGATGGTGGAAGGGGACCAAGGGAAGATGTGCATTAACACAGAGTGGGGAGGATTTGGAGATAATGGCTGCATAGATGACATCCGGACCCAATATGACAAGGAGGTGGACGAGGGGTCCTTGAATCCTGGCAAACAGAGGTGAGAATGTGGACGTGTACCTTTCTGCGGGTCGTGCATATACAGCTTTACCAGATCTGGGGGGTGGGTGCTATTTTCATATCATAGACACTGTAGCTTGGTATACTGTTTAAAATTCACTATCAGATGTCAGCATACTGTCTTATTTGAACAAAAGCAAAACGTTATGACAAATTTTCAATATAAAGAAGGGTTGCCTTTTTCTTTTTTTAATTATATTTTATTGATTATGCTATTACAGTTGTCCTGGTTTTCCCCTCTGTCCCCCTCCACCCAGTACCTCCCAATCCTTCAGGCAATCCCCCCACCATTGGCCACTTCATCTCCCATACTGCACTTTACATCCCCACGGCTATTCTGCAACTACCCGCTTGTACTTCTCAATCCCCTCACGTCTTCACCCATTCTCCCCCTCCCCCTCTCCCATCTGGCAACCTTCCAGACACTAACTTCTTCTCTCTTGCTTTTAAGAGTTTCTCTTTATCCTTAACCTTTGGCCATTTAATAACGTGTCTTGGAGTGGGCCTCTTTGCATCTATTGTAATTGGGATTCTCTGTGTTTCCTGGACTTTCATGTCCATTTCCTGCACCAAATTTAGGGAAGTTTTCTTTCACTATTTTTTCAGATAGATTTTCAATTTCTTGCTCTTTCTCTTCTCCTTCTGGCATCCCTATAAGGTGAAAGTTGGATCTCTTAAAGTTGTCCCAGAGGCTGCTTATACTATCCTCATTTTAAATTATTATTTTTTCTTCTTGTTGTTCTGCATGGTTGTGTTTTGCTTATGATCCAAATATTTGATTTGATTCTTGGCTTCATCCATTCTTCTGTTGCTTTCCTTAAATTGTTCTTTATTTCAATCAGTGTATCCTTCATTTCTGACTGGGTCTTTATGCTGCTGTGGTCCTCACTAAGTTTCTTGAACATCCTTATAAACAGTGTTTTGAACTCTGCATCTAATTGCTTATCACCATTTTGTTTAGCTTTTTCTTGAGTTTTGACCTGTTCTTTCATTTGGACCATGTTTCTTTGTCTCCTCATTTTGGCAGCCTCCCTGTATTTGTTTCTATGCATTAGGTAGAGCTGCTTTGACTCCCTGTCTGGGTAGCATGGTCTATTGTAGTGGGTGTCTTGTAGGGTCCAGTGGTACAGCTTTCCTTATCACCCTATTTAGTTACTTGAGGTGTTCCCTTTGTGTGGGCCGAGTACCATTTCTTCTTATAGTTGAGCCTTGGTTGCTGTTGGCAGGTCAATTTGAGGGATTTACCCAGGCCAGTCATCTGCAAGGATTGTCTGTAACCGCTGACCACAACCTTTATTCTCCATGGATCAGCTGTGCAGGGGCAGGGTGGTGGTGCTCCACTGTGGTCTGTAGCTGTCCACTGGGTACATTGGCCCTGGAGTTTCCCTGGTGTTCCAGGCCAAGGTCAGTCCCCACCTATGTTTCGCCTGGTGCTTTACTGCCTGAGCTGTAAAGAAATCAGAAGTGGCTGCTACTTGGTATGGGCTTGGAGATTCCCAGGTGAAACAAGCTGTGACTCTAATCTGGCTGCTGCTAGGGCTCACAGAAGCCAGCTGTTGCTTGTTTGATAGGATTTAGGAGACATGACCAGCCATTCTTATGGAAAAGCAGCTTGGGTAGGCCTGTAAATTGGGTGGGGAAGAGACTGGATCTCCAGGGTGGGTCCCAGAGTGTTAGCTAGGTTGGTAAATTCTCAGATATGGCACTGGACTGCTGGCTCTGTAGGGGGAGGGTTCAACAAAAGGACAATGGCCTTTGCTTGACCTGATGGCAGACACTTCACTCTTTCCCTGTGTGCCACTGGTGCCCTTCAAGCTGCCATCCCAGTTCTGGAGGTCAGAGGGAGTGAGTCTGAGTAGATGAGTCTGTGTGTGGGTTCCCCAAGAGGAACTACTTAGTGCTCCATCAGCCGTCTCCACTTGATTCACTGGTTTTTGCAACTAGAACTTGTAGGGACTTATCTTCCTGCCACTGGAATCCTGGGCTGGGGGCCTGGTGTGGGTCTGGGAGTCCTTGCTCCTGAGATATCCCTGAATTTTTATCCACGGGTGTGAGGCCAGCCCATTCCACTAGCCCTACCAGATTGGACGGATGTGGTGCCAATTCCATAGTTGTCAGACTTCCATTCCGCTTGATTTCTGATGGTCCTGAGTGATGGTTGTTCTATATTTTAGTTGTAATTTTGATGTGGTTGTGGGAGGAGGTGAGCCATGTCTGTCCACATCACCATCTTGACCAGAAGCTGGGTTGCCTTTTTCTAATTTCCATAAGATACCATAAGGGCTAATGGTGGCTTTGGAAGTGAGGTAGAGACTGTCAAAATGTCCATTTACTGTGGGCCGGTGTCACAGGGCAGGAGTATGGTGACTCCATGGGCCCTCTCAGGATGGGCTTCTGAGAGGTCCAATTCAGAAGTCCAAAGCCTCGGACTTTCCAGCTGGCTGCCAGGTTGCTGGCCACTGCTGCTCTTGGGTGAGGAAGTGGCCACAGGGGAAGGTGGGGGTCCTAATTCTCAACCATGATGTCACGTTGTAGCATGGGTCCCAATCACCTGTGAGGTGTATTCCAATTACTAATCATACTAAAAATACTGAAAATAGTGAATGGTTCTTTTTAAAAAATAGAGTACATTTTCCCTCACATTCCCATACACCTTCTTGAGTAGGAGAGAAAGGAGTGGGTAGGGATAGAGCTATCATGCTAGGAATGGATGATTAACCTGGGCTTGTGCCTTAGAACTGGGGCTAGCAAACCTTTTCTGTAATGTACCAGAGAGTAAATGTTTTACTCTCAGGTCACAACTAAACTCAGTGTCTTAATATATAAAATAATACAGAAATGCAGATTTGTTGAGCGGGGTGGTAGCCAAGTGAGGAAGTTGAGCGGACAGGAAATGTCATGGAATGGGATGCCTGGGCCACAAACGTCTTGGTGACCGTGGCACTGAGAACACTGTGTAGAAGAGGCCCCGTGATTCCTCAGCTTCCTTTGGCTCTAGTCTTTGTGGCTGGAAGTCAGGTGAGTTGTAGTAAGCCCAGCTAAACCAGGGATTGCCCCCCCAAAAGAATTTGATAAATGTATTTATCTTTGAGTCCTGAATTGGGGCATCCAAGTATCATGGCTCTTCTCACGGGGCAGATTCCTTGTGACGTCATTTTGTGTCTGAACCCTCTGGAGACTTATATTTCTGGAGCGAGAATTTAAGGGGACAGCACATTTGAATTTACTGCCATAATTGCCCGTTTCATCTTGGTTCCACACTGGGGCCTGGGCAGTGAAGAGAAACACCCAAGTGCAGCACTCTCAGGTTTCCATTTGACCTTGCCGGCCATAGGGGTCCAGCCCTGCATTGTTGCGTTTGGTAACTGTCACACATACCTGTGCACAGTGCCTAGTCAGTGCCTGTTGGTGACAAAGCACCTTCTCTGGCTCCTTCCCTCATGTTGCTCATAGCCTGACAGAAAGGGGACAGGGAGATAACATTTTTTGAGCTCCCCTGGTGTGTGCAGACAGTTAAAATATATTCTCTCATGGAGCAGAATCTCTAGTGGGACAGATTTTTTCCAAGTATAAGGCTATGAGAATCTCCGGTAGAACAGATTTGTAATACAAAGCCAGGGAGAACTGGCTTTGGGGCCATGAGAGGAACTAGTTTTTGCTTAGCACTTACTGTATGTCAGATACTTGCCTCCCAATAGTCTTGTGGGGTCAGTGTTTTGTGCCCTGTTTTGTTGATGATACCTTAGTGCTTGCTCAGGTCATGGCCCTAGTATGTTGCAGAGCAGGGACATGGCTCCTGGTCAACATGGCTCCGAAGCCTGGCTTCCTTCCCCACCTCGTTGCATGTCTCTGGCCTGCTGCTCACTCTGAAACACTCCGAGCCAGGCAGCTGACAGATTCCAATGGTATGCCTTCCACAGCCCGACCCTGTGGTCTTTTGGGGACCATTCATCAGCGCTGATTTTCCTGCTCTTACCAGCCTATCCCTCTTCCCCAAACAGATATGAGAAAATGACCAGTGGGATGTACCTGGGGGAGATTGTGCGGCAGATCCTGATTGACCTGACGAAGCAGGGTCTCCTCTTCCGTGGGCAGATTTCAGAGCGTCTCCGGACCAGGGGCATCTTTGAAACCAAGTTCCTGTCGCAGATTGAAAGGTAACATGTGATCACATTCCCCTGCTCAGTGTGAGAGGCCTTGACTTGGACACGCTGCTGTCATGCCAGGGTGAGGCAGATCTGAGATTTAAAAACAAGGCAGAAAGGCCAAGAGGAGGCAGGGGGTTGCCTCCTGGGGCTGCACCCAACTCCAGCTGCATCAGGACTGCAATGTGAGGGTGTGTACACAGTTGGGGTTAGGGGTCGTGGGGGGGCTGGCCAGCAGCCTGCCTTCGCCCTGAGGTTCCTAAACTGTTACACAGGAGTTAGCTTAGGACAGAAAATGATGTTTTTTTGTTTCTGAAAAGAAAATCGGTCCATAATACTAAGGAAAAGTCATTTAAAAAATCACCCATATGCTCACTACTAAATACAGCTGTGTTTTTTTTTTTAAGATTTTATTTATTTATCTTTGGAGGGGAAGGAGAGAGGGAGAGAAACATCAATGTATGGTTGCCTCTCATGTGTCCCCTGCTGGGACCTGGCCTGCAACCCAGGCATGTACCCTGACTGGGAATCGAACCACGATTGTTTGATTCACAGACCCGTACACAGCTGTTTTTATTTTTGTGAATTATATTTCCTTTCAAGTTCTTGAATATTTGTTAACATATTTTCATGATTGCAGTCACATGATGCATATTATTTTGTATACTGTTTATTCAGTGTTTAATCATGAGAATTTTCATTTACAATTCTGGTTTTTATTTGATTTTTTGTTGTGAGAAGTTTGAAACATACACAAAAGTAGAAGAAATAGGGACTTCCACCAAGATGGAGGCGTAGGTGGAAGCACTGTGCCTTCTCACACAACCAAGTTTAAAAACAACAAAGTTTTAGCAACAAAAACGCAGCCAAACCACAAAAAAATTGAACTGTACGGAAGTCTGACAACAATGAACCCTTCAGCTAAACCTGTAAGAGGGGCAGAGCCAGCAGCAGAGCGGGGTCAGGCAAGGAAAGATCCGCTGGACCGAGCCAGGTGCGCAACCCAAGTGCGCCAGCAGCCATGGGCGGATCCCAGGTGTGGAGAAGTGGGAGGACCCACTGAGGGCGGACCTCGGCCACACATTTGAGCGCAGATAAACTGGTGAAGGAGCAAGCGGTGAGACAGACCGTGCAGGCCCCAGTGGCGGGAACCAGCAGAGGGGACCATTATTGTCCCTCTCTGACCCCACCCCCACATAGAGCATTACAAACCAGCAACCTGGGTGGCCCCGCCCTGGTGAACACCTAAGGCTTCGCTCCTCATACATAAGAGGCACAAACAGATCAAAACATGGCTCAAGAACAACTCAGAGCCCCAGAGCCTATAAATCTAAGCCATGAAGAAATAGCCAAACTTTCAGATGCACAGTTCAAAACACTGATCAGGATGCTCACAGAACTGGTTGATTTTAGTCACAAATTAGAGGAATATATGAAGGCTAAACTACTTGAAATTAAGGGAAATGCACAGGAAACCAATAGTAATAGAAAGGAAACTGAGACTCAAATCAAAGGAGTGGACCAGAAGGAAGAAAAAAATGACCAAACAGAAAAGAAAGAAGAAACAAGAATTCAAAAAAATGAGGAGAGGCTTAGGAACCTCCAGGACATCTTTAAATGTTCCAACATCCGAGTTATAGGGGTACCAGAAGGGGAAGAGGAACAGCCACCAATGGAAAACTTATTTGAACAAATAATAAAAGAGAACTTCCTCATTCTGGCAAAGGAAATAGACTGCCAGGAAATCCAGGAAGCTCAGAGAGTCCCAAAGAAGTTGGACCCAAGAAGGAACACACCAAGGCACATCATCATTACATTAGCCAAGATTAAAATGAAGGAGAGAATCCTAGAAGCAGCAAGAGCTAAGGGGAAAGTCACCTACAATGGAGTTCCCATCAGACTGTCAGCTGATTTCTCAGAAGAGACCTTACAGGCAAGAAGGGGCTGGAAAGAAGTATTCCAAGTCATGAAATCCAAAGACCTACATCCAAGATTGGTCTATCCAGCAAAGCTTTCATTTAGAATGGAAGGACAAATAAAGTGTTTCTCAGATAAGATCAAATTCAAGGTGTTCATCATCACTAAGCCCTTATTATATGAAATGTTAAAGGGACTTACCTAAGAAAAAGAAGGTAAAAAAGATGAACAGTGAAAGGACAGCAAACTCACAGTTACTAAGAACCACACCTAAAACAAAAGCAAACTAAGAGGACAGCTAGATCAGGAGCAGAACCATAGAAATGAAGATCACATGGAGGGTTAGCAACAGGAGAGTGGGAGAAGGAGAAGGGGGGAGAAGGTACAGAAAATAAGTAGCATAGATGGTAGGTAGAAAATAGATAGGGGGGAGGGCAAGAATAGTATGGGAAATATAGAATCTAAAGAACTTGTGACATGTGGTCATAAACTAAAGGGGGGGAATGGTGGGGGAGGGGTATGCAGGTGGAGGGGAATGAAGGGGGAAATAGAACAACTATAATAGCATAATAAAATATATATTTTTTAAAAGTAGAAGAAATAGGAAAATGAGCCCATCATTAACAATGATCAACTCATGGCCAAACTGGGTTCATTTACATACTCCTGCTTCCCCACCCACAAACTGGAGTCATTTGAAACAAATATCACCTTTTATGTTAGTTCCTCTATAACTATTTCATAATATTTTTCTAAAATAGATCCTTAAAAAAGAAGTACCATCATCACACCCAAAATAGCTAATGATAAACCTTAATCTCATAAAATGTCCCATCAGTGTTCCCATTCTCCAAATTGCCTAAAAATAATGGTTTTTACAGTTTGTTTATCTCAGTATCCAAATAAGGTCCATACATTACATTTGATTGATATATTTTTAAATATGTTATTTATTTATTTTTAGAGAGGGGAAGGGAGGGAGAAAGAGGGGGAGAAAAGCAATGATGTGAGATTGGTTGCCTCTTGTACATGCCCTGACCACCACTGAGGACCAAACCCACAACCCAGGCACATGCCCAGACCAGGAATCAAACCGGTGACCTTTCACTTTGTGGGAAAAGACCCAATCAGCTGAACCAGACCAGCTGGGGCAATTTGGTAGATATGTTTTAAAAAATATTTTTTAAATCAGTAGATGTTTCCTCCCTCTCTTGTTTCACATGTATTTGACAAAAAAACTATCCTTTTATCCAATGAATTTCCTGTGTTAAAGATTTTGATGATCACAGCATTTACTATTTTCTTCTGTCCCTTATATTTCCTGCAAACTTACAGTTAGACCCAGACACATGGTTAGATTCAGTGTTGAGTTACAGACAAGAATATTTCACAGGTGTACTGCGTTGTCTGTCTGTCTCTCTCTCTCTCGAGGTAAGCAGTTATTGATGCTCACTGCTTAGATCTGTCATTTCACTGGAGATTGTGAAGTGGTGATAATGCTGTCACTCTGTCTGCGTTTATTTGCTGGGATGCTTCTGGAAAGAGAAACTCCCCCAGATCAGTTCTTTGGTGTAATTGTTTTAAATGGCTGCATCATGTTGCATTAGGTTGCTGTACTATAATTTACTGAACTCCCCCTTTTTAGTACAGGATGGCTAGATTGTAATTTATGGATTTCTACCATTCTGCATAACACCATAATTATTGTTTTTGTACACAAAGTCATTTGCATCTCATGAATAACTGCCTGAGGAGTACAAGCATTTGGTTAAAGAGGCCTTTGCCTATGAACACACTTTTTAAAAAGACAGTTCCACATCCCACTACCACCAGTTATGCACAGATGTGCCAGTTTCACGACTTTTCCTACCAGCTCTGGTTGTAATTGGAGTTGTGAGTTTGGGATTTTACTCAGTTTGCATTCCTTTGCATTTCTCAGTTTGCATTCCTTTATGGCCAGGTGCCAAGAAGCCAAAAATCATTTTGGGAAAACAAATAAAACTATTAAAAAATTGTCTATTTTTAGAGAGAGAAGGGAAGGAGAAAGAGAGGGAGGGAAACATCAATGGGTTGTCTCTCAAGGTCCGAGCCTGCAAGTCAGGCATGTGCCCTGACCAGGAATCAAACCAATGGCCTTTCTCTTTGTGGGATGATGCTCAACTAGCTGAGCCATACTGCTCAGGGCAAGAAAACTCTTCATAAATGAAAGCAGTGTACTTACCAAGGGAAATCGGATGGACCACTGCAGAGGTCTTGCTGTTTAAGGAGGTGATGCGAGAGTTAGTAGCAGCAGCAGCAGCAGCAGCAGCAGTGGTGATTTTATGTTTCTAATTAGCAAACATTTGGCATTCTTTTTTTTTTTTTGGTCTGGTCTTCAACTCCTCGGATCCAAAAGTGCAAGTTAAAAGTCATTACCTTTGGTAACCAGAGGGGTCCCCTCTTGTGTAGAAGAAATAGTTTCTTGCCTGTGTGCAAGAGATAAACAGATCGACTTATTTTACCTTGCTTTTCTGAATACAAAGAAAGTTGTTTCTGGACAAAGCAAGTTGTCAGGACCTGTATGCCTCCACAGATATTTGCACCTGAAGGTGTCTGCTTCGGATGCTTTGATTCTTATGGGCTTTTTTTTTTTTTTTTAAGCCTTTAAGGAATAAAAGAAGATAACCCCCATCTAGTGCCAATGGGAGACAGTAGGTGCTATGCTGACTGTGACCCATTTCAGAACATGTTGTTGAATGGGCGGGACTGTGATTCTCAGGGGAAGAATCCTGGGTTTACAGTCCCAGAGCCTGAGCTTAAGATTCATCTCTACCATTTACCTCGGTTGTGCTGTGTGATCTGCGGCAGGTAGCTTCACCTCTCTGGACCCTGATTTCCACTTTATAAAAAAAAACAATTGCTCTGCTGCTTAACCCCAAGGATCGCTCTGAGGATCGAGGAAGGAAACATATATGAAAAAACTAGGTAAACCGTGAAGAGCTACACTATGGAAGAAATTTTATACATGCTAATACAACCCCACTTTTTTCTTCCTATACAAATATTGCTCAGTCATAAGCAAAAGAAAGAAAATAAGAATTACTGGTAATTCTACCAAGCATCTGAATAGATTTTCTTCTGCTTTTTATGATTGTTGTTCAAGGACAAACATTATTTAAAAACAAAAACAAACTAAGGTCACATGGCACATAGTATTTTTATAATTTATTTTTTCACTTAATACATCATGAGCATTTTTCATAGCATGAAATACGAACTCATCCTTTACGTCTACAGAGTATTTTATTGCCTGGCTACACCCCCATTTACCTGTTGAATCTGCTATATAATCTCAGAGCTTGTTTCTCAGTTGTTCTCTCTTGATCATGCTCTTCTCCTAAGTGGTACATGAGACAGTCGAGGCTGTAACTTCCCATTATTTAGCTGGGGCGTCAGCTTTCTAAGTTCACTGTGAGACAAGCAGGGTGTAGAGTCGAGGCTAATGGGTCCCCACAATGGGTACTTCTCTGCATGGCCTAGCAGGTTCCCATTTACTTAGATGCTGACCGTACATCGTGTGGTTGTTTATTCATTTGCCCATTGAACGTACACAACCCTGACTGGCTACTATTGAGACTACAGTCTTACCCTCAAAGAGCATGTAGTCTAGTTGGGAAGAGAAAGCACAAAATCAGAATAGTTGCCAAAGGACAGTCGGCCAGCAGAACGGGGCCAGAGTACCAGCAGGTACTCAGTGGGAAGGCTGGCTAGATCTGGTGTGAGAAGGCGTGTGTTTGAATCCCTGCTCTCTAGTCTCTCTGGGCAAGTCTCTAGCACTCTGAACCTCAGATTCCTCTTCTGAGAAATGGATACTTGATGTATCTGCTGAAACTAGTAATAGCTCCTAGTGAGATAATAGATTTGAACATGGCTCACAGAAGAGGTTCTCACACTTTTTTTTAAGCGTGATGGGATTTCCTGGGGGTGGCATTCTGCTCCAACTTAGCCATGGTCTGGATCATTTTCTTTCTCTTCCCAGGACATCTAGGGGTGGGGGGCTGCGAGCCGTGGGGGGCAGATTCCAGGGCACCCAAAGCAGGTCCTGACATCTCATTCTGCTTGCCTGCAGCGACCGGCTGGCCCTGCTCCAGGTGAGGAGGATCCTGCAGCAGCTCGGCTTGGACAGCACGTGTGAGGACAGCATCGTGGTGAAGGAGGTGTGTGGAGCTGTGTCCCGTCGGGCTGCCCAGCTCTGTGGCGCGGGCTTGGCCGCCATCGTGGAGAAAAGGAGGAAAGACCAGGGGCTCGAGCACCTGAAGATCACTGTGGGCGTGGACGGCACCCTATACAAACTGCACCCTCAGTGAGTGCCTGCAGAGGGCAGGGGTGGGAGGGTGCTGAGGGCGAGAGTGGTCCCGGTTGAATTTGACAGACGGGGTTGAGCCCTGGTGGCTCTGCTTCCTAGTAGCACGATGTGGGAATATTTGCCCTCCCCTCCGAACCCCAGCTTTTTCATCATGAAAGGTGGGCTGTAGTAGCCTCTGCCTCACAGGACTGTGTGAAGGTTACAGGGGTTAATACCTGTGAAGTGCTTCACACAGTGCTCAGTAAATACAAGCACTGATTATTAACACATTCCCATTGACTTCTCAGGGGAGAAATGAAAACTGACTATAAACACACAGTATTGTCAAGTAGGAGCTGCTTATAATTTTCTTAGCTCAGAATAAGTGGACAGGAGGATTAAGAGCCCCGTCAGGCAATATGAGTTTGAATCATGGCTCTTCTGCTTAGTAGCTGGGAGGCCTAGAGCCGGTTTCTTACCCTGTTAAATGAGGACAAATATCATACCTGCCTCGTAGATTATTATGAAGATTAAGTTAAATAGTTTGTGTAGCATGCATGGAACATCACAGAAATCTCAATGATGAAAGCTATCATTTTATTTTCATTTCGAGATTTACGTTTTGTTTTGGTGAAGAGGAAAACTATTAACAAGCCTATACAAATTTTCAGTCATGTGGAAATATATACATGAACTTATTATTGTAATCCTTCTTCCTTAGCCCTTCCTGTGATGCTAATTGTCTGAAATAACTGAGTGGTATCTTCTTTTGCTTTTTCTTTGGGGTCACGTATTTTTGTTGTGGTTCCTACAAGCCCTTCCCTTGAACCATAACTTGACTGAGGAACAAAACCGCATGCTTATATCACTAAGTATAGACAAAGCATTTGGTAACATCTAACACCTTCCAAGATGAAAAGTACTCAGCAAAGCAGGAATAAATGTACTCAGCAAACTTCCTCAACCTGGCAAAGAACATCTAAGAAAAATCCACAGCTGACATCATATTTACTGGTAAAAGACTGGATGCTTTTCCCTTAGACTGGGAACAAGACAAGGATGCCCACTTGCGCCACTGCTGGTCAACATTGTACTGCTTCTAATGCTGCCTCTACATGGTTTGTGATTAGTGTCTATCAGTCAAATCTTGATTCAAGGAGAGGTTTGTAAGAACCAGACTCAAAACGCATGACCTCAAGTGGAAAACCATAGGTAAGTCTAGCCAGCTCTGTTAGGCAAGAAAAGGTGGTAAAAGGCATCCATATTGGAAAGGCAAAAATAAAACTATCTTTCTTCACAGATGACATGATTTGGTATGTAGAAAATCCTCAGGCATCCACACACACAAAACTATTGGAACTAGTAAACAAGTTTAGCAGGGTTTCAGAATAAAATCAATATATAAAAGCAGTTATGCATTAGCAATGAATAATCAAAAAGTGAAACTTAAGAAAATAAGTTTATTTACAACAGCATTAAAAAGAATAAAATACTTAGTAATAAATTTCACAAAACAAATACAAAATTTGTACGTTTGTACATCACTAAAAGAAATTAAAGACCTATTATTATTTAGGTCTTGGAAAGACATCTGTGTTAATGGATTGGAAGACTTAATATTAAGATAGCTATACTTCCCAAATTTATCTTCAGATCAGACATAACCATTATCAAAATCCCCACACACTTCTTTGCAGAAATCAGTAAATTGATGCTATCATTCATATGCAAATGCAAAGAATTCAGAATAGTGAAAACAATCTTCAAAGTAGAACACAACTGAAGAAATCATACTTCTCTATTTAAAAACTTACTCTAAAGTTACAGTAATCAAAACAGTATGGTACTGGCATAAAGATTAAACATATAGACCATTGGAATAGAAGTTAAGGGTCCAGTAATAAACCTGCACATTTATGGCCAGTTGATTTTCAACAAGGATGCAAAGGCCATTCAATGGGGAAAAAAGTATTCTTTTTAACAAATGGCATAATAATTGGATTTCCACATGGAAAACAATGAAGTTGGACTTCAACCTCACATCAAGTATAAAATTAACACAAAATGGATCAAAGAGGGCCCTGCCTTGGTGAACGACCTAAGGCTCTGCTCCTCACCCAGTGGCGCGAAACAGCAGAGGGGGTCGCCATTTCCTCGCTCTGACCACGCCCCCACATACAGCGTCACAACCCAGCAACCTGACCACAAAAATGGCTCAAGAAGATCTCAAAGCCCCAGAGCCTATAAATCTAAGTGATGAAGAAATAGCAAAACTCTCAGATGCACAGTTTAAAACACTGGTGATCAGGATGCTCACAGATCTGGTTGATTATAGCCACAAATTAGAGAAACATATGAAGGCAAAACTAATTGAAATGAATGGAATTGCACAGGAAACCAATAGCGATGAAAAGGAAACTGGGACTCAAATCAATGGAGTGGACCAGAAGGAAGAAAAAAATGGCCAAACAGAAAAGAGTGAAGAAGCAAGAATTCAAAGAAATGAGGAGAGTCTTAGGAACCTCCAGGACATCTTTAAACATTCCAACATCCGAATTATAAGGGTACCAGAAGGGGGAAAGGAACATCCACCAGTGGAAAACTTATTTGAACAAATAATAAAGGAGAATTTCCCCAATCTGGTAAAGGAAATAGACTGCCGGGAAATCCAGGAAGCTCAGAGAGTCCCAAAGAAGTCGGACCCAAGAAGAAACACACCAAGGCACATCACCATTACATTAGCCAAGATTAAAATGAAGGAGAGAATCCTAGAAGCAGCAAGAGATAAGGGGACAGTCACCTACAAAGGAGTTCCCATCAGACTGTCAGCAGATTTCTCAAAAGAGACCTTACAGGCAAGAAGGGGCTGGAAAGAAGTATTCCAAGTCATGAAATCCAAAGACCTACAACCAAGATTACTCTATCCAGCAAAGCTTTCATTTAGAATGGAAGGGCAGATAAAGTGTTTCTCAGATAAGATCAAATTCAAGGAGTTCATCATCACCAAGCCCTTATTATATGAAATGTTAAAGGGACTTATCTAAGAAAAAGAAGTTAAAAAAACATGAACAGTGAAAGGACAGCAAATTCACAGTTATTAACAACCACACCTAAAACAAAAGCAAACTAAAAGGACAGATAGATCAGGAGTGGAAACATAGAAATGAAGATGCCAAGGACGGTTAGCAACAAGGGAGTGGGAGAAGGAGAAGGGGGGAGAAGGTACAGAAAATAAGTAGCATAGATGGTAGACAGAAAATAGATGGGGGTGGCAAGAATAGTATGGGAAATATAGAATCTAAAGAACTTGAGACACATGGTCATAAACTAAAGGGAGGGTAATGGTGAGGATGGGGGGGTAGGGTGGAGGGGAATGAAGGGGGGAAATAGAACAACTGTAATGATATAATGAATAAAAAAAATTTTTTTAAATGGATCAAAGACCTGAATTAAGAGCTAAAACTATAAAACTCTTAAAATATAGGTATAAATTCTTGTGACTTTGAAATAGGTGACGGTCTAAAATATGACATCAAAAGCATAAGCAACAAAATAAAAAATAGATAAATTGGACTTGATCAAAATAAAAAAAATTTATACACCATAGAAGTTGCAAAGAAAAAATAGAATATTTGCAATCATATATCTGATGAGGGACTTATATTTAGAATATATAAAGAATACAAAACAACTCAATGATAAAGACAAGTAACTTGATTAACAAATGACATCTCTCCAAAGAAGATCTACAAATGGCCAATAAGCACTTGAGAAGATGCTCAGAATTATTTGTCACTAGGAAGATGCAAATCAAAACTGTGAAATACCATTTCACACCCAGTTAGGATGGCTATAATAAAAAAGACTGACAATAACAAGTGTTGGTCAGGATGTGATAAAAATGGAGCCTTGATGTCTTGCTGGTGGGAACACAGTTTGGCAATCTCTAAAAAAGATAAACATCCCTGGCTGGTATGGCTCAGTGGATTGAGTGCCAGCCTGCGAACCAAAGGGTCGCTGGTTCGATTCCCAATCAGGTTACATGCCTGGGTTGCCGGTGAGGTCCCCAGTGGGGGGGTGCATGAGAGGCAACTGCACATTGACGGGTTTTTTTCCCTCTTTTTCTCTCTCTTCCCCTCTTTCTAAAAAATAAATAAGTAACCCTGGCTGGTGTAGCTCAGTGGATTGAGCATGGGCCTGCAAACCAAAAGATCATGGTTCAATTCCCTGTCAGGGCACATGCCTGTGTTGCAGGCCAGTTCCCAGCAGGGGATGCATGAGAAGCAACCACACATTGATATTTCTCTCCCTCTCTCCTTCCCTTCCCTTCTAAAGATAAGTAAATCTTAAAAAATTTTTAAATAAATAAGTTAAAAATTTTTAAAAAGGTAAATAAAAACTTACCATATGACCCAGCAATTTCATTCCTAGGTTTACTCAAAAGAATTTAAAACATGTTCACACAAATACTTGTTAGAGACGTTCATAGCGGCATTATTCATAATAGCCAAAAGGAGAGACAACCCAAATGTCCATCATCTGATGGATGGGTAAAAAAGATAGCCATACAATGGGATATTGCTCATATGAAGGAATAAAGTACTGACACACCTACAACTTTGATGAACCTTGAAGAACGTTATGTTATGTGGCCAGACACAAGCGGCCACATATTATAGGATTCTATTATATTAAGTCCAGAATAGGTAAATCTACAGAGATAGAAAAATTGGTGACTATTGGAGGCTTTGCAGGGGCAATGTGAGTAGAGAATGATTAGCAATGGGTATGGGTTTCCTTTTTAGGATGACAAAAGTGTTCCGGGATTAGACAGTGGTGATGGTTGCACAACTTTGTGAATATACTAAAACCCACTGAATGGTACCCTGAAGGATGGAAGGGAGGGAGGGAGGGAGGAAGAAAGTTAATTGAGCAATGACTGCCAAGCCATTTTCTCCTACCTCCTGGGAAGTTTGGGGCTAAGTACCCTTACTGTGCCTCCAGCAACATTCCCAACATTCTCTCACTTAACCAGCAGAGTCCCAAGGAGCACCAGTGGTTGACCAGAGTCACCCACTGGCCCCGTGTTCCAGCTGCGTTCAGAACCTGCTCTGGCGTGCTGGCCCCCAGAGATGGCCACCACCTGTACCATTACAGTAACTCAGGAGCCCGGGATCTTCGGCCCAGATGCCCAGGCCTTTGGTAAACATATATGATCCCACAGACTGGCCTGGTAACTGACTCCCAGGATGTCGATTCCAACAGATTTAATAGCGCAAGTGGTAGTTGTGAGAGGCCAAGTGTTGTGATTAAGGCTGTATGCTTTAGGAGGAAATTAATGGAGGGAGAGATGAATAAATGGGTGGATGGATAAAGAAAACAGGGCAAAATTTTAACTTTGTTGAGTCTAGGCAGAAGGTATAGAGGTACTTGAACTATTCTTTAAGTTTGAAAATTTTGAAAATAAAAATTTGGGGAAGCCCTGGCTGGCGTAGCTCAGTGGAGTGAGTGCGGGCCTGTGAACCAGAGGATTGCGGTTCGATTCCCAGTCAGGGCACATGCCTGGGTTGCAGGCCAGTCCCCAGTAGGGGACGCATAAAAGGCAACCATATATTGATATTTCTCTCCCTCTCTCCTTCCCTTCCCCTCTAAAGATAAATAAATAAAATCTTTTTAAAAATTGGGGGAAAATTTGAACAAAAAAATGTGGGGTTTGGAAAAAGACTGGCCTGGTACAAATCTTAATAAATTGACTAGTTGTGTAAATTTGGACAAGTTTGTTAATTTTGGAGCATCAATTTATTTATGTAGTAAAGATAGCAATAATTATCTTCAAACTACTATTTGTTACACTTTGATATGCCGTATGTCAAACATCTAGCGTATTCTTTGGCATTGGTATCATTCAATAAAAGATAATATTAAAACAGCTATTTATGAAACTGTAAGGTCTTCTAGGACCTTGAGAAGCAAACTGGAAGCAACAAGTTAATTTGAAATAATTTGTTAATATGCTGATTCCATACGTCAGTGCTGATGAAGGTTTTCTCTTCTCATTTTTACAGCTTTTCTACAGTCCTGCAGGAAACCGTGAAAGACCTGGCCCCCCAGTGCGACGTGACATTCATGCTCTCGGAAGATGGCAGTGGGAAGGGAGCAGCTCTGATCACCGCCGTGGCCAAGAGGTTTCAGTAGGCCCAGGACAACTAGGAAGCCCTCCTGGCCGGCCCGAGGCACCTCGGGCTCTGACCAACCTTTCCTCCGGCAGATGAGTGGGTCTGGGACCAACAGGCAGGCTTCTGGCCGACTTCACCTTCTGGGTGGCCGCAAGAGAACCCCAAGTTCTTGAGTACTCTTAGCTTTTTGTTTCTCGTTTTCAAGGGCAGTACATGATATCTCTATTTGGTATATTTGGGCTCAGGATGAGCCGACTTGTAAAATCAAAGCATGTGGCTCGAGACATCCCCTTTCAGCAGATTCTCGGTTGAGAGCTGAGCTGTCAGTTCTCTAGGGCTTTGGGTCTTGTGGCCGCTGCACTTGGCAACGTATGTGCGATCTGTGCCTGTGGCCCGTCTGGCTGAGCTCCCGTGGTTGTGCTTCAGCCTTTGCTGTAGTGGACTGGGCCCTCTGCTTGTGGATGCACACTCGAGAGGGCTGGGGGCTCTGGCGTAAGCTGGAGATCTAATCTAACTTGTTCTTGACTTGTCACGTTGACTCCAAAGACTGGAATATTCAGGATGCGGAGGGCGGGACTGCCAGGGAGCCTGCGGGAAGCTGGCCTTGCTCACAGGGAGCAGTGTGGGCACCCTGCGGGACTTTTCTCAATATGTGTGTGTTATTGGGAGGGGTGTCTTTTGGGGCACCTGTTTGTCATTTTACAGGTGGTTTGTGCTGCTGTTGTTGATACTAGTTTTGAGAATTGTTGGGTATAGGAAATCCAGTAAATGAATAAAACGTATTATACTTCCTAAGAATCTTTGCATGAGATATGACTGTTTCACCTGGGAGGCTGGCTTGGTAACTTCATGCTCTGCTAGTGGAATAAGGGGCACAGAGTTGCTGAAGGCACCTCTCCAGTCCAGCCTTCTCACCAACGGCGGAATATGTGGAGTATCTTCTACAATACCTCTAACAGATTATTCAAATTTCATTTGAGTGCATACTTCCAGCGACTCGATCGCGTGATCCCACAGTCTAAAGGAGTGAGAGAGGGGCCCCCTGGAACTGGGGACAGGCGGGGGGTGAGGTTCACTGGGGAATGTTTTTTTTTCACACATTCAGTAAACAGATACTGCTGCGTGCAGGTGCTGGATTAATCAAAATGAACTTTATTGTATTTTAGGCTCATATCTCCCTGGAGAGAGTTTGTAAGGATTTATTAAATTTATCTTTTTGTATTTTAAGGTTATGTCTCTCTGGGGAAATGTTTCATGGTCAGATTTTTGTCTTAGCAAACCCCAAACCTTGTCGCCCTTGTCATCTTTCTGTAGTTCTCCCATTCCTTGGTAAGACACCTCCAGCTCCCAGCTCTCCTTTCCCCTGGTTCTGCTGGGGGTCTCTCCCTTTGCCTTCTGCTTAACAGGTGATCTGGCCCAGGTTCAGGCAGCCACACCGCCACGTTCTCCCACAACCTGGTCTCTCGGCACATGTTTGGTGAGATGGCCAGCTGTGGTCTCTGACCTGAGGTATCCAGGCAACTTTGCACATTCTGACTGATTGATGGCATCACAGAATCTTTGATCTGGAACAGAACGCAGAGAGGGCAGACAGCGGCTTGCCGTCCTTGGACAGGTCCACCCCCGAAACACCTGGGGCGATGGAGGGCTAACTTCTCAGAGTTTCCTAGGCAAGACCAGCCACCACACCACACAACAAGGTAAATGATCCTCCCGGGAGCCCCACAGACTTTTCCTCTTGGGAAGAGCATCTTCATCTACATTTTCTGGTCCTGTGGTTACTTTCTTCCTGTAACTTTGGCTAGAAAGAAGAGATGAACATAAATTTAAGAACTACATTTTCTCCATGACTCTGCCTCTGCAAAACGAGACCTCATTCCCAGTGGTCTCTCTTTAGTTGGCTAATGAATGGCAGTTGGGGAAAGTGAATTTCTCACACCCACTTCCCTCCATCCCCACTGTCTTGGCAGTCCCTCTCTTGCTGTTTTACAATTGAAACTACTGGTAAAGCATATTTTATTAGAAGAAGGTGGGGACTTGGGAGAAGTTGAATAATAAAAGAGGGATCTGATAGCTCATATTTGGGGTGAACTAGGAGGGATAATTAGGGTAGAAGAGATTAATTCATTTTTGGTCCAGCTAGGGACAGAATGAAGCTGGGAAGAAAGTGGAAAATACTTTAAAAATTATATATATTTTACATATGAGAAAGAAAGAGAGATAAAAATAAAGGTACATCATTGGGAATAGTTTGGGGGGACTGGTCTAGAGAGCAGAGACGCACCACCAGCACAAGAGGCAATTCCAAGGGGTGTCACTCACACCACAGTCTCTACGTGGCCCGGTTTTCATCGACTCACCTCTTCGGTAGTTAGCACAGTCTAGCGCAGCCCTTCCCAAAGCATGTTCTAGGATCAACGAGATATTCCCAAGAAGCCATTCTCTGGAGTAACCTTTTCCTTTAATTCTCAGACAAAATGGCTCATTTCCCCACCCCACATTCTGCAGAAAGGCCTCGGATTCCAACAGTTCCTGAAGGGAATGCTTATACTGTCCGGTGCCGTCTCCAATCCTGGCTCCAGCTCGCTTCTCGTCTCAGCTGCCCTCACAAGTCCTGTGGCTGCTGCCTCTCTCTCTGTTTTGGCTGATACATGGAACTGTCCCTTTCTCTTTGATTCTCCAAAACACCATGAATTCACCGCCAGTGTCTTAGAACAGACTTGACCAAAGGTTTGGGGGTGATGGAAGGGACTACTTCACAGAATAGGCAGCACTGTAAACATGAGCATTGGGTAACGAAGTTCTATGGCCATCCCCACCCCAGAGAGTTTTCCGCTGCCCATCTTTCTCCATGAACTCTGCTGGCTCCCGTGTTGTACAGATTCTTCCCACATTCTCTGGAGACTTCTTTCTTGTCTTCTCTTCTCTGAATTCTGGACAACCCATATCAAATTAAAAATTTATCTTGCTTAAAGAAAAAAGATTTATTTATTTTTAAAGAGAGGGAAAGAAACACTAGTGTGGGAAAGAAACATCCACCTCTCACATATCCCCAACTGAGGACCTCGCCTGCAACACAGACATGTTCTCTTACTGGGATTCGAACCCATGACCTTTCATTTGCAGGCCCACAGGCTAACATGCAATCTACTGAGCCATACCAGCCATGGCTCTCCTGATTTATTTTACAGAGCAAGTGACTCTCCTATGGTATCAGTCCACTCTTGTGTCAGCCCGAAACCTCAACTTTGCCAACCAAAAAGGCCCCTTGAGGTGTTTGAATAAAAAGAGGGATTTTCTCTTTAAAAGGAATTTTTCTGTTAGAGTCAAACAACAGCAAACTTTACTCCTGACGTAGAGTAAACTACATATTTAAAGTATATAATTTGATATGTTTTGCTGATATCACCACAAACAAGATATTGAACATGTCCATTACCATAAAAGTTTTCTTGTGACCCTTTGACCCCTCCTTCCTACCTCTTATTTTTTCCCCCACACTCAGGTAACTATTAGATTTGCTTTCTGTTTCTATAAAATTTAGTTTGCATTTTCTAGACTTTTATATAAATGGAGGCGTATAGTTGGTTCCCTTTTTTAATGTGGCTTCTTTCACTCAGTATACCTATTTCTTTTAATCCTCACCGAAGGACATGCTTATTGATTTTAGAGAGAGGGGGCAGCGGAGGGAGCGAGAGAGGGGGAGAGAGAAACATCCAGTGACTGGTTGCCTTTCCTGTGCACTCGGCCAGGCACTGTTCTCACACATGCCAGCACTGGGGATGAATCCACGGCCCAGGCATGTGTCCTGACTGGGAACCAAACCCGCGACCTTTCAGTTTTCAGGATGATGCTCCAACCAGCTGAACCACAGTAGCCAGGGCTTAGTGTACCTATTTCGATATACATTCATGTTGTTGCAAGTATCAAAAGTTCATTACTTATATTGTCGAATATTCTGATGCATGGATATACCACAATTTGTTTATTCATCTACCTATTCATAGGTATTTGCGTCGTTTCCAGTTTTGGGCTATTGCAATTTAAGCAACAAGAGTGTTATATACAAGTCTTAGGATGGACATGTACTTTTGTTTCTCTTGGATTAATACCTAGGATTACAATAGCTAGGTCTTTTGGTTAAATTTTTATAAAAAGCAAAACTGTTTTTTAAAGTGGTTGAACCATTTTATATTCACATCAACAGTATAGGAATGTTCGAGTTTCCACATATTTGCGAACACTGGATTGGCTGGTCATTTTAATTTTAGACCTTCTAATAAGTGGGTCATCATGTGTAATTATGGTTTAACTTATGTTTACCTGAGATTTAACATCTCATCATATGTTTATTGATCAAATCTTTTCCTTCTGTTAAATGCTCTCTATCGCTTTTGCCTATTTTTAAACTGAACTGAGCCCCTTTTTTTTATTTGTGGGAATTCCTTATATACTGGGAAGAACAAAACTGGATCTACAGTTATAAATAAATAATACAATAATTAATAAATTACACAAATAAGCTCTGCCTTGCATACTCACAACTATAAACCTATTTTTGCCCACCCCTGTGTTGTGGATCAAGTCCATTGGCAGTTTTAGGTATTTCAAATATCTTATCATTTACAGCTTGTATTTTTATTTTCTTTAAGCTTTTGATTAACATAGTTCTAAATTTAATACTGTCAAGAGTCTCATTCTTTTTTTTTTAAAGTTAGCATTGTTTTGTGTGTCTTATTTAATGAATCTTACTTTCAAGGTCAGAAAGATTTTAACAGTATTGTCTTCTAAAAAAAATTTAAAGTTTTGTTTTTGACGTTTTGTTTTTAGTTTAAGTGAAGATGATTTTTATCTATGGTATGAGTCAGAAACAGTTTCATTTCTTCCCCATATAGATAGCTTTGCAAGCTATCTCTTAAATAGTCCCTTCTCTACTGATGACATGCCAGCTCATTAAATTCCACAAAAAACACAAATGCCCTGTTGGCACTTGTACTGACGCTGCACTGTGTGTGTAGATCAGTGTGGGGAGAGCAACCCTTTTAAGGTGCTGTTTCTTTCTAGCCGTTGCCTAGGGAACATCTCTTCATTGATGTAGGTCTCCTCTGAGGTTTTCCGAAAAGCGTTGTAATTTTCCGCATAGGTCTTGCACTCTTTTTTCCTTAGATTTACTCTTAAGTAGCTTATAGTTTTGTTGTGAGTATAAATGAAGCCCTTTAAAAAAATGTTTCATTCCTAATTGTTTGCTTGCAAATGCAAAGATAATACAATTGATTTATATCATTGATCTTATATCTAGTCACATACTTTTCCATTACTTTTATTAATCTTTTTAACTCCCCTCCCTGGTAATTACTAATCCATCTTCTGTATCTCTGATTCAGGGTTTGGGGCTTTTTTATACATTCCGCATATAATTGAGAGTGTACAGTCTTTGTCTTTCTCTCTCTGACTTACTTAGCTTCACATAACACCTTCAAGGACTATCCCTGATGTTGCAAATGGCAGGATTTCCTTCTTTTTTGTGGAAGAATAATATTCCATTGTATATAGATACCACATCTTCTCTATCCATTCACCCACTGATGAACACTTAGGTTGTTTCCATGTCTTGGCAATTGCCAATAATGCTGCAGTGAACATGGAGATGAAGACAACTTATATAAGAGAAATGATTCTATTAAATAAATAGCAAGAAATGATTCTTTTAGATAAATACCCAGAAGTCCTGTAGGACTTTTTTTGTTGTTGTAATTTTTATTTATTTATCTTTAGAGAGGAAGGGAAGGAGAGAGGGAGAGAAATATCAATGTGTGGTTGCCTCTAGTGTGTCCCCTGCTGGGAACTGGCCTGCACCCCAAGCATGTGCCCTGACTGGGAATCAAACCTTGATCCTTTGGTTCATAGGCTCCCACTCAATTCACTGAGCTACAACAGCCAGTGTCTGTAGGACTTTTCTACTGTCTATTTTTTCTCTTGTGTATGGGTCACATTTTTCTACTTCTCTGTATTAGTATCTGTAACTATCTATCTGTCATCTATCTCTCTATCTTTGTACATTATATATAATAGCCCTGGAGTCTGAAGTAGGTTATATTTTCTCCCAGGGAGAGAACAACCTTTTCTTCCTTGAGGTAGCTAAACAGTAGACTCATTTCTTCAGGCTCATTTCAGTCTGATACTGAGGTGGATGGACTTATCTTCAGTTTCAAATATCCTGAGAGTGATGCCTGTCTTGTGTTTTTTACAGGCCCTCCCCTCAAGCAGACTTCTTTCCCAAACAAAATAATATTTCAGGAAATCTCTCTCTGAATGTCCTCTGGCCCCCTGTCTCCTTACTGCTCAGCACTCAGCAAACATCCCGTGAGGGAGTACTGGCCAGTGGGGGAAGCCAGCCGTGCACTTGAGCTTCTCCAGACTCTGCTTCGTCAAGGCAGCCTGTGTGGCCACGCAGGGCGGCTGGCTTCTCATTGTCTCAGAGCAGGCTGGCCCCACACTGACAGTCCGACAGTCTCAGCGACTGTCCTCTGAGAGGGAGGCAGTCCCCAGTCTCTACTTGCACAGGTTCTTTCTGCTCTAAAATTTAGCTCCATTGGCCTTTGTATTATTCATAGTTTTCCAATGTCTCTAAAAATATATATATATAATTTTGTCAGTTTATTCATTTGTTTTCTAATTGTTACCACGAGTACAATGATTGGTTTCTACATTTCACATCCTAACCACCAGTTTTAAAGACTTTGAATTCCCATTATGATTTCTGGTTTCACTCAGCTATTTAAAAGAGCTTTTAAGTTTATACTTTTGTACCTTCCAAAAATATGAAGTTTTAAAATTTATTATTTTGTAATTAACCTCTAACATAATTGTGTTTTTATCATTGAATATTATCTAAATCAGGAATTGGCAAACTTTTTCTGTAAGGGGCCAGAAAAATAAATATTTTCAGGTTTTGTGGGCCACATGTTCTGCTTCATTATAGCATGAAAGTGCCTATGGACAGTATGCAGGTGGATTCATACGGCTGTCTACTAGTAAAACTTAATACAAACCCAAGTGAAAGGCGGGCTTTGGCCTGTAGGCCATGGTTTGTTAGGCCCTGGTCTATATTATATTTATTATTTGGAAATCTATAGGCTTGTTTTATAAGTATTTCATGTGTACTTGAAAAGAATATGTATCCTTTATTAGATAAAGACTTCTATATATGTCTATTGGATTAAACTTGTTCCCTAGCTGGTCAGATCTTCCATATATTTGTTGATTTTGTTTGTTTGGCCTAACAACAGAGAGAAATGTGTTTAAATCTCTTAAAATTGTCAGATTTTTCCTATAGATCTAACTGTGGGGGGGCCCTCCGCCCACAGGGCCCCCCACCTCTGGCCACCACGAATGAGAATAAGTCTACCGAGACATGATCTGCTTGGGGAGGAAAGGTGGTCGATCTCTCAAAGGAGAATGGCCCAGAGCCTTCTCCTCATTGGGCTTTTATTAGGTTCATTTTGCACAGGAATATAGGTAAAGCTCATTAATCATTGTCAGACAGTAAGGATCAAACAATAGATAGCACACAAAGAATTACTAAGGCTTATTCTGAGTCAGGGTCAGTTAGCTAAAGGGCTACAAAACTTTGGGAAATGAACTCATTTCCTGCTCAGACCCTTATCACTTAGTTGAGAGCATTCTTAGCAAGGCAGGTTTCACCGGATTTTATGCATTCTTTCTTAGGCCTGATCACCCTGGGGAACCCACCCTTTTCAGCCCAGGGCTGCACCGCTCTTTGTCATTTTTTCAGGATTAAGTAAGGCAGCTAAGAGATTAGGAGACTTCTTTCAGACAGAATGAGGACTCAGGCTATGTCAAAGCCGAGGGGTGAGGGTCCATCACTC